AGGGGACCAACCACTTTTGAGGTTCTAACTCGTTACATTGATTTCCACGGCCAGAACCTGGGATTGAACTTCCGAGGCAAGCTACTTCCAGGTCTGAGCTACCCAACTCCGCTCCAGCGTCATGCTGCCATCCTTGTCCGCCGCCGCGAACACGCCCCGGAGCCACCTGGCAGCAGAGTGGGGGGGATGGGAGTGGAAGACGCAAACAAGGCAGGTTTTCTGGTCCTCGAGACTGCGCACCTCACGATTACAATAGATATATATATATATATATATATGGTACCCCCCCCCAGGGACCTACCTTTTTGATGAATTCCCTGGTATTTGCAGTGTTTTCTACCCTTTGTTGGGCTTTGGGGAGAGCAATGAAAAAGAAGCATTTCCAAGGACGTTCTGGAAGCTTCAGGCTTGATTGAAACCGATTTAAACCGATTTAATTTAAATCGGGCATGGATTCAAGATTCAAGAATCCAGGCTAAACTTTTCCAGGGATTCTTGAATCCAGGCGTCGATTTAAACCGATTTAAACCGATTTAACTTAAATCGGGCATGGATTCAAGATTCAAGATTCAAGACTCCCTGGAAAAGTTTGGCCTGGATTCTTGAATCTTGAATCTTGAATCCATGCCCGATTTAAGTTAAATCGGTTTAAATCGGGTTAAATCGACGCCTGGATTCAAGAATCTTGGAAAAGTTTGGCCTGGATTCTTGAATCTTGAATCTTGAATCCATGCCCGATTTAAACTTAAATCGATTGAAAACGGTGTAAATCGAGACCCAAATTCAACATTGCACTTTGCGCGGCTGTACTTTAGCACAGTGTTGCGCAAGCATCCAAGTCCTGATTATTCATTCAATCTGTTTCAATCTAGGCCCACATTCAAGATTGCAGGTCAAAGTTTTCTAGGGAATCTTGAACCCAGGCTCAACTGAAATTTCAGTCGGTCTCAATGGGTTTCACTCGGGCCCGGATTCGCGTTTGCAAAGAAGACTTGTCTAGAGAATATGGGTTCTTTCCTTATCAAATCCTGGTAAAGCTCATATTGAATTGCAAGTATATGTTGGGAAAGGAACTCTATTTAAACTCGCAATCTCAAATTTGATTACCATTAGGCTTCTGACCAAATATTTCCGTATTGAGTCCCAATTAAATCCTGTTCAAGTGCAAATGAGCATTTAGAGAGCGTTTGTTGGTGGAGATGTGAATTGAGTATGAAAAACGCTACACAACACTGTGTTTTACGGTGTCTTCTGACCAAGGTAGTGTTAGGACTAGTGAAAGACACAAGTTTGGGACCTTTGGATTCTTTCCTTATGCATTCCACTTAGTATGTTTTATCAAATTCAACCTTATTTCTGATTGAAATTCAATGGAGCTTAAGAAGGACATACTCCAGCCAGAATTGCGATTTAGATTCGAACTTAAATATTGACTGTTTTTGTCAAATTAAATGGTACAAACTATTTTCTGTCCAATAGACCATTGTACATTGAATTTCAATCACTTTCAGAACTAGCTAGTCCTAGTTTGGTCCTAGTCCTAGTTGAGAGATCCTTGGTTATAGGCCAAGTATGGTCCCAGCTTACTGAAATACATAGAACGTACAAAGGACATTACAAAGGAAGTTAGTTATGAATTGTAGTTAATATATTAGTCAGGTTCTATGCACCTTCTAGCTGAACAATTGAATTTGACATAAGGAGAATATCCAGTCAGAATTTACATGTTAGGACCAAATATTAAACAGGACTTTTTTTTCCACCAGAATGTAATACTTGACATCCAAATACTATAAGAAGTAGAATTAAATGGTCTAGTCCTAGTTTGGTCCTAGATGAGAGATCCTTGGTTCTAGTGTTAGGTTGCTCCCTAGTTTACTGCAACAATTAGAAAATATACAGGACATTGCAGAGGAAGTTATACTTGAAGTTCATTTTTTGTAAGAATCTGAGGTGGGTCGTCTAGTCCTAGTTTGGTCCTAGTCCCAGTTCAGAGATCCTGGGTTCTAGTCTCATTTGGTCCTGGTCCTAGTTGAGAGATCGTTCCTCCCAGTCCTAGATGGGCAATTCATGCACTGGAGAGGCAGCCAAAAGGTAGGTCCCTGGGGGGGGGGGGGTAGCATATATATATATATACATATACATATAATATATAGATACAAACCAATACACCTTAAGAATGAACACTGGAGGAGGAGCAAATAAGAGTAAAGTACGTGGATCAGCCCTAAACAGAAAGCCCGGATCTGACATTAATACCATGAGTCGCTCCACCCTGTGGTCACTGCTTCCACCAAGATTTCATGCCAACCAGCTTATAAAGGCCTAAAGCCACAACAATCGCAGGGCGCGGAGCCGCCAAGCCACCTCCAACCCAAAGACGGCCCCAAAAGGTTAGGGCTTGATTTGCCTCAAGAAGTCCTTTTTCCGGGTTTGTTTTCAATGGCAGATAGGGCACCACCATAAAGCTGCACCAATCAGATGACGTCAGCCCCAGTCTTGTTAAAAGAAGTGTTTACCATGGCTCTGCAGAAGTTCATACGCATTCCAAGAAAACCTTCCTTGGAAAAATGGAGGTGGATCAAATTATATATATATATACCCACCTTTGACCCATTTATGGGGTGAATGCGGGTATAGATTACCTACATGTGTAGCCTACTGTATGCGATACATATGTATATATATATATATTATATATATATATATACCCACTATATAAATTACACCCGTTTACCCACTATATACTAACCCTACACATCCGCCCCCCGATTTCTCCACAAATGGGTTTCACCTGAGGCCCGTCCCCTTCGCCTCGCGAGCCAAATCCTGCGCTCCTCCACCGCCTGCGGTTGGCTCGAGACCGTAAATTACCCAAAAGGAACCCGTAGGTTGGATCGAAACGCCAAAGCATCATTTCCCATTTCCCGTTTGGTCACTTGGTTGCTGTTGACCCCCCTGCAAAAAGTGTTTAACTTGGGGGTTCCGGGGTTTAGTGGAAAGCACCTTGAGTTCATTTGGGTATGGGTCGAAATTGAACCACCAGGAATCGGACCGCAGGTTTCAGTCCTTGGTTCCATTTACCAGGGCAAGCCATTTTGGGTACCCATTTTTGACCCGCACCCATTTTTGGGGAAGAGTTCCGATTCCTTCAAACTCAACCCCAAACCAAGCTGGGCATCTGAGCTCAGAGCAGAAAACAAGCGGTTCCCTCAAAGAGGTTCGCGCGCTCATGGCCATGACTTGTGACTCCGTTCTCCGAACATAGACAATTGCCTCAAAATGGGGGGGGGGGGCTCCCAAAATGGTTGGTGTCCTCTTCATGTCCTTTTAGAACTACCCGTTAGCGTTTTTGGGGGGCAGCCTTTAAAACACCCAAACCAAACTTGATTGACGTTAGGGAGCCCGAAACAATCCCAAGGGAGCCTTAAGACATAAGTCTTCAATCCCCTGTGTGATCAAAGCAGCCAGGCGCCCAAAGAAATCCGACGGCAAACCAGGAAACTAAATCCTGCCCGAGAAAAGAAGAAGAAGAAGAGATGTCTAAGCCACACCAAAAGGGGGAGACCCCCACGAGAACCTATTTTGGCCAGTCCTTCTTTTTTGAGGTATCATCTTGTTGGGGGGTTGTAAAGGAAAACCAAAAGGAACACCAACACTTTGGTGGGTTTTAAAGCTCCCCTGCCAAAAAGTCCAAAAGCCCGAAGGCTTCAACATACAGTGTCCAATGTTCCCCGATCATGAAAAGCCAGTTGTGCGGACCGTGGGAGAGTCGCTCTGCTTGCCGGAAACAAAGCAAGTTTTGAGCTCGAAAAGGTGCCCCCTAAGAAAAAAACTCAATGCAAGCCTCCAGCCTGGTGGTCAGGCAAAGGGAGATTGGTTGGGTGGGGGGGGGGGGGTAATTAGCATGCCAACATCTTCGTCTAAAATCCGCAACGGGTTCATGACCATCCTGCGTAACCAAAGTCAAGGTCCCCTCAATAACAATAAGCAGAATAGTTCTTACGGATCCTTACCACCAGGTGGATGACCTTCCCTGTTAACCCCAAGTAAATTGGGCTCTTGGCAAATTGGCCGTTGGCTCGATCGAGGCAAACAAGGGGCAGCGGCTGGCAACTCGCGAGAGTTTAATGTTTGCCACTTTTGCTGTTTGGTTGGGTTGGGTTGGGTTAGGTTGGTTGGTTTGTGTATTGGTTTCCCTTTGGCTTTTGCACCTTTATTAGCCCACAAAACGCTCAAGGCTCCCAGTGTTTAGCCAACGAGACACTCGTCCCTTGAGTGTTCGTTGCCTCTAAGGTTGTCCTTACACAAGAAGGGCAGCCTCTGAATCTTCACGTGGGATCACGCTCGCAGAACTGAGCGGTGATTAGAGCCAAACAACTCAGTTGACCAGCTGGAGGAGCATTCGTCCAGATCCCAATTCTCACCAACTCCTACTGTGGGTGGACACAATCAAACACGCATCATGGCTTTCCATGGATTGAAGCTGGTGCAGGATTTGTCCACCCACAGTACGTTGGTTGAATTTACATCAAAAACCCGAGTTTCTCAAGTAACTCAGAGTCCTTTGACACCCAGCTGTCAGCCAAAATGATTTGGACATCTGAATTACTCCAAAAACTGCTGATTTTCTGTCGATGGGAGACTCCAAAAAAACCTGGAGCACCCTTCGTTACATAAATTTCTGCCTTTAGCCCAAACGTGTTGCAAAACCAGGGGTCGTCACCAAAATATGGTAAACGTACACTTTTTCCTGCTCCGAGCGTTTTTCCCAAAACCGGGCTGGTCGGTCCTCCAAGATGATCGGTCGCTGCATATTCAAAAGGAGCGAGCAGAAATCAAAGTGCAAAACGAGCGCAAATATCTGCAAAACGAGCGCAAATATCCGCAAACGAGTGCAAATTTAAAAAACGTAACAATCCCGCCTTCCTCTGGATGGAAGAAGGGGATGTGGTCGAGCGTTTTTCGGGGGGCGAGCGTTTTTTGGGGGGTCGAGCAGAAATCGGTAATTCGAGCGTTTTTTTCTCGTACCTAAAAAAAAAGGCACGTTGGGTGCCTCAGGCTGCTGATTTTCTGTCGATGGGAGACTCCAAAAAGGCCAAAACAAACGAGCGTCCCAATCGGGATCCAGCCGGGGCTCACGCGCCTCCTCGTCCTTTTGCGCTTGGGACTCCCGCACAGCCATCATGTTTTCACTCACCACCTGAGCGTTCACTGGCGCAAAACCCGGAAACCGCAGCCAGGGGCCATTTCGAGAACGAACGGTTTGGACCCCCGGAAAAGTCGGAAAAGCAATGGCTCAAACAGGGGGACTGCTAACAATTGGTGGCTTTGCTTTGGGTTTTCTCCTTCAAAGGAAGTCAGGGCCTTCTTTGGCCTGTGGTCGGTCTTCAGTTGGCAATTGGAACCCTAGAATTGCCGCCACCTATGTCCAAGCCCAAAAGAGGAAACCGGACCCTTGCTAAGAAAACCGTGCAAACTTGGCACTGCTTACACCCCCATCCCCCACCATCCGCTGCCACTTCAGATGGGCAAATTCTCCTTGGAGCGCTGTGGTTGCGAGTTCACCGACTGGACCAAGCAGGCACGCCAAAGCTTTCCACCGATCCTCTTCAGCCATCGGCCGATGACATTGCTGCGCAGCCGTCATCTTCTCCCTGTTCTCCGTTCTGGTTTTTCTGAACAGGACCCTGCCCAGATGTGCTTATTAGGGGTCACCTGAGCGCGAGAGGGTTTTATCATTAGGGTCTCCATTAGGTTCCCTTCATGAGATCTTACTAAAACATGCTCTTCTGAGTTGCAGGAGAGGTTTTTGTTTGTTTGTTTATCATTAGGGTCTCCATCAGGCTCCCTTCATAAGATCTTACTCAAAAGTTGTATTCTGAGCGATTTGTCCTTTCAAATCAACGGGTTGCCTTGCGGAAGAGGTTTTTATCATTAGGGTCTGCAATAGGTTTCCTCCATTATTTGGAACATATTTTGTTGCAAATCGAGAGGGTCCCTTCCCTTTAAATGTTCTTACTCAGAAATTGTCTTTTGAGCACTGTTTTGGCGAATCAAAGGGGCCCCCCACTTTCCAATTGGAACCAGTACTAAACAACCCAATCTCAAACAGTTCTGGCCAAAAACGGGGGGACCCTGATAATAAAAACCCTGCGAGGTTTTTTGTACTAGGGGGGGGGGGGGGCATATTCTTAGGGAGCACGGATTAAAGCAACCCAAGCAATTTTGAAAGAATGCCCCCACAACACACACCAGCACACTCTCAGAAGCTTATGTTCCGTTCATCAAAATGGGGTTCACTGCCCCCCTGCCCCAGGGGATTTCTGTGGTGCAATGGTGGTAGCGCTTTGGGGCAGCGGTTTGTCGAGCGGAGTTCACTCGCGAGCCAACGCCCTTAGAGCCCGAGGCCAAAACTGCTGGGGTTCCAAATATGGCTTGGGAAGACGAATGGATTTCTATTGAGATACCTTTCTATTTTCTTTGAGGCCAGGCATGCCCCCTGTGTGGCTTGGACTTCTTTGGTGGGAACGGGTTGGTCCCAAATTCTAACCCACATTTGCCCAGGTAAGGTTTCATTGATGAAACAAAAGCAAGAAACGACCCAACATGGCAACACACGGCAAACACGGCGCCGTACTTCTGGCTGGATGTTTCAGCCACGGGTGGGCACCTCCTTTGGACTCGTCCCAAATGGCACACTGCTTGAATGACAACCTCCAAGAAGTAAGAACCATGTGACGTAGAATCCGTGAAAAAAAACCAACAACATGTGTGAGTATCGAGAACTCCCCCATGTTTTTAGCGACATAAGCAAGGCAGTAGCAAAGGGGGCCTTATTCCCACACATATGAAAACAACTGTAACTTGAAACAGGTTCACCCTTTGGAAAGTCAAGGTTGATCTTCATACCCTTCACAAGCAAAAGAGGAAACAGCGGGGGCCAAAAGATGTTGTCGTCCACGTTTCGGGGTGCCCTTTGTAAAAGATGCTGGTAACAAACTTGAATCTAGCTAGCTGAAGCAAGGTCATCCGTTTTCAACCAAACAGTCAAATAATGGACACCCATGTACACGCTCTCAAGACTTCTAAGTTGGTCCAAGTAAGGCCTTTTGGACATGCCATATTATTCACATGGGGTCGTGCTGCCCATTGGTAAATAAGCCTGCATACCTGCGAAGCGAGGGTTGGGCCAAGCCCCTAAACTGGTTGAAGACGTCAAGCAAACTCCTTTTGGTTCCTCCTTGAAGTTCCGGGCAGGGGCTAGTTGAACGCATTTTGCCCACCCTGCTAAAAACCCTGTTGGAAAGTTTGATGTTTCTCTTCAGATCCCCTCTAAGGAAGGCAAGCAACCTTTGCTAAAAAAACATGCACAGACATTCTCCAAATGTCAACCCGCATACTGCCAGCACTGCCGAATCACTGCCATACTCCTGTCATCACGTCCAAAACTAGGCTTGTTATAGAAAGTACCCCCTTTTGGGGTTTGGCTTTGACAACCACAAGGAAACCACCCATATTCCCACCATGGCCCTTGTGTTTCTGGGTTCATCTGGGCTGCCCTGGCACCGGTCAGCACTGACAGCAGTGCCCAGGAAGAGCAAATGGTGAAGAGCACGTAGACGGGCTTGATGGCCGGGATCTCAACGAAGCGATCAGCTCGATTTTCGCACTGGGCACCGCCCAAGCAAGCTCACGTAAAACGATGGCAACCAAAACGGCATAAGATGATCTTTGAAGGCAGCCTTCAAGGGGAAATAAAGGGAACGACAACCGCAAGGGTTGTTTCTCGAGCGAGTTCTGGTTGCCGATTCTCGAAACGCCTGTCTGAAGGTGGATCCAAGAACAGGAACCCCACAAGTAAGAGACTCCCCAAAAACCACAAGACATTTCCCGTTTTTTTGGGGCTCCTTCTGGGAGAAATCCTCCAAGCACCGCCGCTCGCTCTACGGACCCCTCCCTGGCTCCGCTCCGCTCGCTCCATCTCCCTCCGCTGGCCCTCGCTCGACGTGCGCCTTCTCCAGCAAGGGCGCGATAGACTCCCAGTTCTGCTGGTTCATGATCTCAACGCCGGTCTTCGCGGGCGTCGCCCCAACAAAGGGGGGGCCCAACCAAAAGAACTTCGGTGCTCCTGTTGGTTTCCCTTTAAAAAAAAAAAGGTCCTCTAGGTCCTCCAGATTTGAGAGGTTAGAATAAGTTGGTACCAACTTTTTGCTGGTTTGTCTATTTTAGTAAGGGAACCCTCCCCCAACAAAGGGTAAAAGGGCACTACTGGGGGACCTAGTATGGGTGTCGGCAAATTGGGGGACCAACAAACAAAGTGTTTGGTGCTCCTGTTGGTTTCCCTTTGAAACAAAAACAAACAAAAAACGAGGTACCACCTCCAAACATGACACACCCATATCTATTTCAATATGCCCAAAGTTGACAAGCCCGACCTAGCACGAAGACTATTTCGAAAACCTTTCAGAGGAAACCCCATAGCAATGGAAGAGACCTGGGGTAGTAAGTGTCACTTGTGTATGGATGTTCTGTCTTCCCCCGCCCCCTGGAGTGAGTCTCACAACGCCAAAGCCATGGGCACTCGGCCAGCAGTGGAAAGCACTGGACCTTTGGGGTGCCAAGGTGACCCATGGGTCGGTCTTAGGGCCTTGCGAAACAAATATTTGAAACAAGCGAGCCAATGCTTGATTGAGGAGTGGGCAAACATGGTTGGCGGATCTCAAATGGAAACCAGTTGTAAGCCAAGGCCAGCTTTCGAGTTCGAAACCCTTCTTTGAAGGTACGTTGCTTGGAGGAAGCCAAAAGAGATACGGCTTCCATTTTCGGGATTGCACTTTTCTGAGACGAGCCCCCTCGTTGCAAAAGCGAACCCTTTTGGTGCACTTAGTGTGCCTTGAAAGCTCAATCAATTCCGCTGACGTCTCAGCCAGCGACGCTGAAGAGCGCGAAGAGCGAATCCCCTCAGCAGGAAATTTGGAGAAAGCTCGGGCACCCGCTCTGCAGAAATTCGGACAATGCTTGGGCTGGGGATAGGAGTTTTGCTTAGTTTGACGCCAGTTGATTAACTAGCTGATCGACTTTCGTAGAAAGAAAGGTGCAACCCGTGTGGGAATCCGTCCAACTCACCTTGGAAGTGATTCCGCACCAGGTCGTTAGATCGTCAACAACGCCTTTGTCAGTGGGTGAAACGTGCGCCCTTGACCAAACTGTTCATACGACCAGGTGCCAAACAAACCCCTGGAACCTTTCCTGACGCTCCGAAGCCCATCAACCCCAAAGCTTTCAGCTGCTGGGTGCCCTTTTTTTTGCTCTAAGCCTGTTCATTGTGTTGAGGGGCACCCGGTTTAACACCAACCCATGGATATGTGTTGAAAAAAAAACTGGTGAGTAATCCAGGGGTGGACTCCTTCACCCTGCAAAAACCTGTCTATCGATCCGCCAGGGCCAATCTAAGATCAACATGCTTGGCTGTTCGAAGGCGCCAAACACAGCGCCAAACCAAATGGCACAAAGCTCCAGAGGCAAACAAAAAACATTCAACGAGCGTGCACGGTGTTTGGTTGGCCGACGGGTGCCACTGGACTGGCACCCTGATTCAAATGCTACCCACCTCAAAAACGGCTGGCCCCATTACTAGTTTGGGCCTGAACGAGAAGCACCTTAAAAGGATAATGATGGACACCAGAAAGGCAAACTTGGAAAAGGTGAACTAAGTCTAGCAATGCTACTTACCCTTTCTTTGCCCCTAATTAATTCTTTGCGGCTTGCCCTTTCGACGATTTCGCAAGTAGCTGAGGTCAGGGTCTCGCATGCTTGCCCGAAAAAAAAGCACGAAAACCTGCAGGCAAGTGGGAGATCTTGAAACAGGGAACGCCCTGCCTCAGGGAAATACGGACTTGGGATGGATGAAACCCAATGAAAACTCGTTTAAACCAGCTAGCAACCGGTGCAGGATTTTGTCCATCCACAGTAATATCGACCCTCAGATCAATCCGGAGAACCGTGGTTCCCTTGTAAGGTTGGCCTTGCTGGCCCCACTATTTCACCATGATCAGAGTCACCCCCCAAGTGGTAGGTTAAAGCGAAACAACCCCTTTTCTGACTTTGGTAACCCCCAGAAACACACAAAATAATGACCCAAGCGTTGTTCTAGCTGAAGCCTCCCCATTCTTCTTTCAGCAGTCCATCAAGAACCCAGCAAAAACAGCTGATTTTGGAAAAGAACGATGCTTGAAAAGAATGGAAAAGGAATCAACCCCTGGAATTACGGGGAAGGTGTTTGCCAGGCCAGCCACGGATTTCCGCGCAACAGTCCCCAGGCTCGGGCAAATGGACCGGAAGAGGTCCTTGCTGGGCGCCGGCAGGTCCGGGTCGTCCTGCAGGAAGAACAAACTTTTCGGCGGCTCGTCTTTTGGCCATCCCCAAGCATTGTGGTGTTCGGTTGGTTTCCCTTTTTAAGCAGCCCCGAAAAAGGAGGGTACCCTCCAAAAAATACAACCCCACATGGTTTGTCCCCAAGGTATCCCAAAAACGTTAATTGCCGCAAGAGTACAAACATATTGGACAAAATCCACCTCGCCAGTTGATATGGTTAAGTTCATTCATAGGGTTTCTTCCAGTTCCAGGTGAGATGTGGATTGCACCCATCCACGGCATCCTCCCGCAAACACGAGAAGTCCTTATGCTTCCCGATGTGGGAAAGATGAACATCGTGTTGGGCCAATGTGCAGTGAGATCTCTTTGGTTCGGCCGGTGTTCCATGGGTCCGCCAAACGGAAATCCTTGGTCTCCTGTGATTTTCCTGCGCCAACCAACGAAATCGTCAGAAGGATATCTTTAGAAAGAAAGGGTGAAGCAGCTTGCGCCTCCCACAAACGCAAGGCACCTGGAGGGTACGAAGATCAATTTCGTCTTGAAGCCACACTCTGTCAGGTATGCGAAAACATAGTTGGAACTCCCAACCAATCTGATCTAAAACGTCTTTGTTTCTGTCATTGTGTGCATCAATGCAGTCTGTTACTTTCTAAGATAACTGATTTGCCGCCTTTAAAAAAAGATCAACATTTCCGGGTGACATGTAATGATTCGTTCACCTAACTGGAATAAGGGGCTAACAAGAAAGGACCATGGGTGAAATCGGTCGTGCAGCTTTCCCTTCTAGGTGAGGTCGCGATAAAACCGTTCAAAGGCTGCCGTGGGCTCATAGGTGTCCTGTTGGAAATATCGATGGCCATGGTACATGACAAGAACCAATGGGAAACCAGCGCCATCTGTTTTCAAGCAAACCTAACAAGGACACCTATGGTTTTGACAAGTTGCAGTGCATTCTTGCTTCTTGCTTTGTGGGGACACAAAAGCCAATGTGTACTGGTTAGCAGAACTCTCCAAACGAACAATTGGGCCGTTAAAGCTGGAAGGTTGGTCAATGTTCATCGATGATTAACATTGCAAAATGGCAATCAGAACTGAGCCTTGCAATGAATGACCCCTATAACCCATCCCCTATGGTTTCCTTTAAGGGAACCCCTAGGTTCATTCCCAACACCCTAGGATCATCCTACTGAGCACCAGCAAGTAAGCGAGTGTCTTTCAACAGCTCGGCTCGTTCTTTCCTACGTAGGCAGGGTGGGCAATGGAAACGGGCTGTCTGGGACCATGACACAAGACAATGATCAGTGTGTTTCTTCTTTTTTTTTCCGAAGACATTGCATTTTTGTTTGTCTTCCTGGATTTTGTAACTTGGACATCTCGCACGTCCCCCACATCCCTCCCAAATTAACCACCAAAATGAACCCCCCGTCGGACCCACAGCAAGCCACAAACCTGAACACATCAACCATGAATCCAATCCGAAAAACCAAAGCCAACAAACAAGCCCAACGCGACGCTGTTCTTTTGCAGGCTGTTGTCCATTTCCATTCAAGGATTGATGGCCGAGCTTCATGATTTAATTCAGGCGACTTCGGACAGACTCAGCTGGTTGATTGGCGATTGGTTTCGTGTCCAACCCCCTTTGTGTTATTATGTTGCTTTTGTTGAGAGTATTCAACCCGGGGATTATAGCCAGAAAATGACCCCAAAATTGGCTAACAGCTCACATGGATAGGAAAATGGACTAGCCAGATTTAGGGAGGATGGGAAGGAGATCACTGGAATTCAACCCCAAACCACGAGGCCCAGAAATTGCCCAAGCAAACGGCTTAGCAGCTCTCATGGATCTGACCAAATCAAAGTGACCTCACCAACCATGCTAAAGTCACGTGGTTGATGTTTGGGAAAATTGCGAAGCCCCGTTGGTCCATTCGTCCGGAGTTCTGTCTGCCTTAGGAAAACACAACGACACAGGTTGGGTCCGGGGGCCCGGTCTTCCCATCCCAATAGCGCGAAATGATGAATAAGACGGGTTCCTTAGGGAGGTTAGAATAAGGGTGCCCAATTTTCTGTAGTCTATGTTAGTGGAAGGTTCCCCCAAAAAAGGGTAAACGGGCACTACTGGGGAACCTAGTTGGGGTGTGCTCTTGAAGGTCCCCTGACCACCATGGGACTTTGGGGATGCGCCACGTTAGCGACATCGCTGTGCACGAAAGGGCCTGGATATGCTTCGAATGGCCTCGGGTCGTGGCGAGCAAACAAGATGTTTGAAACTCCCATTGGGCGAACCCCTGTAATTGGTCTCCTTGTGATTTGGCTTCCCCACACAAACATCCAAAAATGGTTCCCTCAAAAAAGCCTTGCATGGTTTACTTGTTTTGACTCACATGAGCGACTGCCTTCGTTTTACAGAATTCAGAAGACTACGATAAAGGCCGGGCAGAAACATGTTTAGGGTAGCGCGCTGAATGAGGTGCACAAGGAGGCAGGAAGACCCCCAAAACGAGGTAGGAGCACACCCAAAGCAAGGTAGCACCATTACTACAAAGCTGGGAGCGCGTTTCCTTTACTACGGCTTTGCTACAAAGTTGCGATTTTCGAGCCGGAGCTCCGGGAACAGGGGGGCCCCTCATGGTAAAACCGGTGTTTCCCGGGGGGCTGACTTAGGAAGGCTTTGCAGAGAATTATATACAAATGATTGAGATCACAAACGCACGCGATGGCTCAGGTGCTTCGATACGTGCGACAAAGAGGGTACACGTCTCAAACTGGAGAAGCAAGTGGGTGGATTTGCCGCGGCTTCCTTTCAACGAGTACCAGACAATCCTAGTATCCTGCTGAGAATGTCACAGATTTATCAGGCTTTAGCACTTGTTGGGTTTCCTGTGGTTTCCCTTTGCCACCAATATGTCTTACTTTGTGACAGAACATTTCAGAGCAACTTTCTTTATGAATACTGGAAGTCTCAGGCTTTGGAAAGACTCGGGGAACTGTTGTCCAATCTACCCTTATCGTGACAAGGCCTTGCTAGGCACTTTTCCTTTGCTTATCCTAGGCTTATCGAGGGATAGACCCCTCCCTATAGAACCCCTTGAAGGTCAATGGTAAGCATGCTTGTCTTGCCCACACCTGCTTCTGGTCGGGACCGTCCCTACTTGCCCTTCTACAAAGGTGGTTGATTGCGCTTGGTTCTACCAACATGGCTATGACATCTACAGGATTTACCACCCACGTGAAGCCGGTAGAAGCAGCTGTTCTGGCCATATGGGTATGGCTCAAAATTAAACCAGGAATTGGACCGCGGGTTTTAGTCCACGTTTCCACTTACCAGGGCAAGCCATTTGGGGTACCTACTGTGGATGGACGAATTCCTGCACCACCTAAAGAAACCCTGGAATGATGATTCACCTGTAAATACCAACAAACAATGGTTTCCCACGGTTTCTTAGGTGATGCAGGATTTTGTCCATCCACAGTATTTCTGACCCACAGCCATCTTGGGCTCGGCTTTTCGCTTGGGCTCCCACCCAGCAAGCGGGTGGCGAGGATGGCGAAGGCGTAGAGCGTGACCACCTGCGATCATATAATGTAAGGACATCAAACATCAGAAGGGGGTTATGGGGTACTTCAAAACCACATTTGGCTGTGAGTCAAAAATAGGGACCCAAAATGGAACCCTGGTAAATGGAAACATGGACCAAAACCTGCGGTCCAATTCCGGGTGGTTTAATTTGGACCATTTGAATGGGGTTATGGGGTACTTTAAACCACATTTAGTCATGATTACAGGGGTCTCCTATTCAGTATGAGGGTGATTCTCCAAATGGGGGACCCCTGAAAACAGCATTCTGTTGGCTTCTCTTTAAACACCGCCGAAAAAGAGTTCGTGTTTTTTGAGACACACCCACATGCTCCCGGTGGTTCGAAGGCCCCCCCCAGACAACCCCACCCCCATCCACTCCACAAGGGGGAGGGGGAGCAACATGGAACTTAGAACCAAGGCTCCAGTAAAGCACCTTCATCAAGCGCGAGCTCCTTCTGCCCGGCGAGCTCGCACCAAACCGGGTGGTGTTCTTCGGGCGTCCGCAGAAACAAAGTAGGTCTCCAAAAAAGACATTGTCGATCGGTGCGAGAGATGCAGGGAATGAGACATGGCATCTTACAAACCATCCAACTGGTGGTTTCCTTTGAGGGAATCCCTGCGTTCATTCCCTCATTCCCTGCTTATCGCACCAGAAAGAGGTCCAGTTCGATCGGTGCCTCTTTTGAGTCAAACCTCGCCCACGGACTGAGTCAGAGGGCACGCGCAAACCCCTCCGGGCGCAGGGCCAGGAAAACCAGCACCCAGAAGATGCTCTGCATCGCCTGGCAAGCGAAGGTTTCTAGGTCCTCCAGTAGAGAGGTTAGAATATGGAAACCAACTTTTCTGTAGTCTATTTTAGTAGGGGAACCCTCCCCCAAAAAAGGGTAAAAGGGCACTACTGGGGGACCTAGGTCTGATGCGGGTGAGCATGGGGATGGACCCGAAGCCTCCCGTAACACAAGATGGAGGCGGGTTATGTTGGGTTTAACCGGTTTGGAGGTGTTTGCCCGTATTCAAAAGATGGACTCCCCTCAATTCATCCCGGATGTACCCCCAAACACAAACCTCCCTACAAACAAAGAAACTTGACGATCGGTTGTGTCAAGTACTTGGGTGGCAAGCTAGGCTAATTCTAACCCACTTGTGGCACTTATAGCATGGGTACATGGGCTACAGCCAGGGTTTCCGAACTACAACTGTACCCGATCGCCTCCTGAAATCCCCCCCCCCCCGAAGACCCCTGGGGCCCTGTTGGGAAAATTACTTGCCTGGAAGCACCCAAGCAAGTGCCGAATAACATATGGGAACACTACCAAAATATGTGGCAACCCTTTGCTGCCCTTCTATCAAAAGCAAAACCACGACAAAAGGGTACCCTGAAACAGGACGGTCGCGCAAGGATCTTGTCAACACTTGAGGAAAGATGCTCCTTGAGGACTCCAAAGGCCCTTTTGTTTCAAGGACTGTACCCGAGGGCTCGAGGGCCTGGGATCCATAGGGTGCCATGGGTGCCATCATTTTACTGAGTAGGGAACAGAGGAAACTAGTCCTTAGCAACGAGAGGTTTTGCCTCCTACGGGTGTGTCTTTGTTTACCGGACCCACCCACCAAAAAAAAAGCTTTGGTGTTGCTTTTGGTTTCCCCCCCCCAAAAAAAACAACAACAATTAATTTGTTTTTCCTGTTGGTTTCCGGCGGACAAATACCCCGCTCGCTCACAAGTACACGGAGAACGCGTGGTATGTATCCACCCCGGGCCCAATTAAAAAGGCTGGGGGGGGGTTGAGTCTATCTTGCTACTCAAAAAGTAGGATTTCATGCATAGTGCTTTCCCTATCAAACAAACAACCAAACAGCTGGCTTCACTTTTGGGGAAGGAGGATTCCCGAGTTTCTACAATACTAACCGACTAACTTGATGGGACCCTCTTCCAGGGCCTTGGGCCTCAATACCCATACCCAGGGTAGATCATCAAGCAAATGGTCGTGTTCCACCGGTGTGCACGACAGAATGAATCGCTCTTGATAGGGCGGTGAACAGGCAACAAGCCAGGTCTTTGCTCAATACTTCAGATAAATCCGGGGCACCCTGCTAATCAGAAGTGGCTCATTGCTTGGTGGGGAATCAAACCATTCCAGGAAGACACTTCGGATTGCCATGGTCCTACGGACTAGTCCGAGGTTAACATCAATGTTCACTCCGGATTCCGGAATCACAAACCCTGGTTTCCACCCCCACAAAAAGGGGGGTCAAACCCCCTTCTGCATGTTTTGTACTGTACTTCCAGAAACTGAATTAAGGAACCCCCATGTCAAGAACCTTATGGCGGGCTCGCTATAAAATAAGCAGATGACTCAGGGATCCTTACATTATACACCTGAACATTGCCTTGCAAATGGTGGTGTCCCTTTATTTTGGTGGAAAAAGCCATGTTTCAAATTGGCAAAATGTATCTTTTAAGGAGCCCTGTGACTTGTCTCTGTAAAATACTGGCCCGCCAGCGACTCCGCGCCTGGGTCACGCCGAGGGCCAAGGAGTACCTCAGGCCGCTGCGGGCGCCTGGATTTCTTTTGTTGGCGGGATGCGTGGGGAATGGACCGGTTTTGGGGGTTCCTGTTGTCTTGATCTCCTGCTAAAAGTGAATCACTTTTAGTGCCCAAACGCTACCGATTGATTTTGGGCCTTCGTTCGGCCAATTTTGAGACCCCAAAACCCCTCTGTGTCCAATGGAGGGTCTGGGTCTTGCACTGGAAGCCCCAGGAGCGTCTGGGTGCGTTAAATGCAAACTATAGTGCCTAGACCACGAAACCGACTAACAACCCAGAAGCTAAGGAACCGGATGGCTGGAAGACACCAAGAAAAAAGGCCACCTTCTTGGTGGTAGCTGATGTTTAAACAAAACCTCGCCACAAAGCGCCAAAAGGGCACCACTGGGTGAGTTGGGGCCCTTTGGGGGGGGTGCACGACAACCACCGGATATGTTGTGGTGCCTCGGAACAGCGTCCGCATAAATCAATGATGAGCATGCCCCAGTCATAAATAAATAAATATATATATATATATATATATGTATACATGCACAATATCCATTGATGTGTTCATTTAGTCTATTTGTACAGTTGTAATATATACATATACACATGCACAACTCTCAGTGCGCCCTCTGCTATTTTGCATATGCGCTTCCGCAATTTCTGATATTGAAGCCACGCCCAAAGGCTGGCCACCCCCTCCCGTGAGCTCCCTCAGAGAGGCCTACTCAAAAACCGGGAGGGGGCTGGGCAAAAAAGCGTAGCGCAGGGTGGGATGGGCGGGTCCACCAAAGACTGCGCCGGTCGCACACATCTGTGCATGCGTCTGGGGCCCCATTCAACATGCACAACTCTCAGTGCGCCCTCTGCTATTTTGCATATGCGCTTCCGCAATTTCTGATATTGAAGCCACGCCCAAAGGCTGGCCAACCGGGAGGGGGCTGGGCAAAAAAGCGCAGCGCACGCGCCGCATCACCACAAAAGGCGAGAGCCTCCAGCCCTCAACCAAGAACATATCACCGCCTTTCCACGCGCTCCTAACCTGGCCTTGGCCGTATGAAAGAGGGAAGTTGATTGGCAGCCCAGACCAATCGCGTGGCTTGCTGACGGGTCAGTTCCAATGCGGCGCTCTGCTGAAGCCCATCGTCAAGGTATATACGCGCTGTCTTAACCTGCGCCCAACGACCGCGAACTAGGAGCTGGTCAAAACTGACGCCAGCGCGGAAAGCAGACGTTGCCCCGCCACGCCGAAGAGAATATGGTTGCACAAGATGGTTGCTGAGGTCAAAGAACTTAGTGGCTTTGTGCCAGAGGGCTCGAAACTTGCTGACTGAAGTAGAAAGAAGGAAATCCCCGGGCTGTTTGCGGGCTGTCAACCACTGCAAAGCCACCACCGCCGAACGCTCCCAAACAACAAGCCTTTCACTTTGAAGTTTCAGAGACCCGGCTTTGGTGTCGTGCAGCTGCACTGTGGCTTGCGTCCCAACGCGTTGCACATCCTGCACCCGAACTGCAAACAGCTCGCCTGTGCGCAGCAGCAAGTCGAAGGCCAGCAAGATGCCGGCTGCCAAGTCCGGCTCCTGCCAAAACCAAAAAGGCCGGCATATGCTACTGCCATTTGCGGAGTGAAAGGCAACGCACGGCACGGCAGTTCATGCTGATCCCATGCTTTCATCAATCTCCAAGCGACAGGCAAATGCCCGCGCAATTGCGGGACAAAGTATTGCAAAGAGGCCAACGCATATGAGGCTTCAGCCTTGCCTGCCCCTTCTTGCCACAATTCCTCCACATAGCGGCCTGCAGCTGAATCAATGGCGAAACTAGAGTTCAATGGCAGCTCGCTCAAATCGGCAAAGGTGGTGAAACGGTTGAACGAAGCTCGGTATCTCATCAAGGTGGACGGTTTGACGATCAGACTTTCAAGTGAACCAACTGTAGCTCGTTGCGACTTGCGCTCCTCTCGCGTTCTTTTTCCCAAGGCGACTAGTGCGGCAAGAGTGCCAGCAGGTGCGGCGACTCTTCCGTTGCAGCGCGTGCAGTGTCGCCCGCATTTCCAGAAGGTTGATATGTTCTGCCTTTTGCCACTTCCAAGCCCGACCCTTGTACCAGTTCCACCTGGTCGGGTCGATTGATGAGGAATTGCTCCTGGCTTGAAGAGCAGTCCGATGTCCAGCCGCACATCAGATCTTTTGACCTCCGTGCGCCGCAGGTACTGCTGGACCAAGAGACTCATGAGCGTTGCATCGTTCCTTTTCACTGTCTGCAATGTGCCTGATTCCAGCACATGCCATTCTTCTTCATCCTCCCCCACAGGGTCTGGATGATCTGAGCCTGCAACGCTGTCAGCATCCCAGCCCTTGAGCTGTTTCCCAGCGCGCTGCACCTTAGATCTTCCAGCTCCTCATAGCTCAAGTCCTTGCCTTTGGACCGGTCAAGCTGAAGCGTGTGCCCCTTCCGGAAGCCCATCAAGACTTCCCTGGCCTCAGCGGGCAGCTTGAACCACTGGCCTCACACGTCTTGCACCATGTTCCACTCATTGTACGTGTATGGCGGATACCGAAAAGAATCGGCCTTCCACCGGGCTTTCGCCTCTGGAAACGTTGACTGCAGGCCAGCTGGCCGAGGGGGTGGCCGAGACCGCTTGATAGGCGAGTGAAGGTGGCAAACCGTGCTTCCGGCTTTTCTGAGGGCCAGGACCACCCCTGCGGCAGCCACAAATACTTGTTTTCACAAGTGCCCTCCATGCGACACTCACCTGCAACCTCGCCGACTTGCAGATTGAATCCGGCAGCTGTTCGCTGAGCCAACAATACCGAGGGCGCTTGACCCAACTCACATCACCTGCTTCTATTTTCACTGGCTTCCAACCCAGCTCATAGGACATGGCATCTCTGTCGGCCTCGTCGCAGACCACATTTTCCACGAACCCCCAGAAGCGAATCCTTCGCTCCCGGCAAACCTTCTGAATGGTTCGCAGCTTCTCAGCCAGAGTAAAAAACAACTTGCTCCGGCAGTCCTCAAGGCCTTGGCGCTCAGATGAGAGCTTGGAAAGCCCTTGGCAGGGGCTGCCGCCACCGGCAATCACTGCCCGAACTCCTGCCACTTTGTCCAACTCCCGGAGGATGTCTGCTTCAGCGAAAGTCTCGATGTCCACATGCTCACTTCCACCGGGCCACACTCTCCGAAGCAGCCGGCGGCAGGCTTTGTCCCTCTCCACGGTTCCACGGTGACCCAGTGGGAAAGGCGTAGGCCTGCTCGTTCCAGTGACCGCAGAAGCCCGCCAATGAAATCGAAGACTGCCAAGTGTTCCTCCTGCTGCCGCTCGACCTGCAACAAGGCTCGCAGGTCTTTCTCCCCTTTCAAGGACAAGGAGTGGGACAGAACAAAGCCGCCACCCTTTTCCGAGGCATCGCTGGCCATCACCACGGGGTCCACTTGAGCTCGCCAGTCAGTGAACCTCATCGGCGTCAGCATCAAGCTAATCAAGATCTCGGCCATGCTATCTTCAGTCAGAGGTTCTCCATCTGCCATGGTAGCCACCTGCTTCCAAAAGCCGTCATACACTGAGAACAACGGCCTGCGGAACTGCAAGCAGTGACATTCTTTGCCACCAAATACCTGCAAGCTTTTGACCGAGACGCCTTCTTGACTGCACAGCCACAGGCCTAAACTGAGAATCTCGAGGTTCCGAGCAGTTGTGGTGCCAATCCGACCCTCTTTGCCATCCATGAACTGCCTAGGCGCTCCACTTCAGTTGCATTTTCAATGGCCTTTGTGACATTGTAAGGGATCCCCCAGTATTGGTAGGCCCGCCGCAGAGCGATCTGTTCATCGGCCGGGCGCCCCCGAAGGATCTGCCCAACCTTTTCCTCGATCTGCCGCAGCAAGGTGGAATCATCGAGGAACAATGACCACGCTGGGGCATCTTCACCCAAATCAGGCCACGCCAGATGGCGACCAATCTCCATGCAAGGAGGCAAGCCGGCACCCCACGGCGGCTGCCATAGCGCCAAGCGGCGGTGTATGTGTTGCATCACTGCTGCATCACTGCCACCGAGCTAATGAAGCCCATTGGCAACACTGCGGCAGCCAGCCACGTGTCGCCCGGGCGATCAACCCCAAGGTCCTGCCAACTGACCCGCTTCTCGAAGCCCATGAATGGGAGCCAGGTGTCTGGAAGGGAAAAGAGGTAAAACGACGACTGCAAATCGTCTCCGCATAACGTGATGACATTGCCATCCCCAAGGACCAAATTGGTGAAGGCTGACGCCAGCAATCGGCTTCATGACCGCGTTCACAGCTCGCATGTCCATGATGAGTCGCTGGGACGGGGCTCCTGAGGAAGTTGTCTTATTGGCCTTCTCTACGCCGAACAAGCCGTTCAAAACGGGCTTCCCCTTCACCTTAGCAACCTCACTCACAGGCTTCACGATCTTTCGCTCAAAAAGCAACCTGGCCAGCGCAGGCCACTGCTTGTCCTTGACTCTGACCTTGGGTTCAGGAAGCCTGTCCGGCACCTCGTGATCCGCCAGCAAACACGAATGAGGATTGGACAACTTTGCCTTGACTTCTTCATCAACCACCTCCAAAATGTCCACACACCCGCCATGCCCGGCAGGTGGCAAGCTGACTTCTACCCGCTCAACTTCCAAAGCCTCAGCCTTCATCAAAACCTCGCCGGTGTAGGAAACGCGGGCGTTGCGGACACGGCTGGCCCAGCCAGTGCTCGGAGTCCGCGGCACCTTACCTTTGGCCGCCCCGTCCAGGGAATCCATAAAGTACTCGACTGCCCGACGGATCCTACCCAGAGCTAACTTCTGGGCTTTGGTTGGCTCCATTTAAAGCCATCACAACCAAGAAAGTCCAGCAGGTAGCCCCGACATGGCGAACTTCACGTATCACCTTTGAGCCGCTGGCTGATTTCCTTGTAGCCGTCTTGCCATCCTTCACCATGATCTGGTGCACACTCTCTGCGAGTTCGGGGGTGACAGGCAAAGGCAGCACATCTTTCCAGCGCCGACCTTCGCCCTGTGTGGAAGCGCGTAAAAGCTGAGCACCATACTTTCCAAGGAAACCAGGCATGCAGGTGAAATTGGGCTCACCTGAGCGCTCTTTTCATTCTGGCCTGCAAGAAGTTCGCGAACCTCACTCAACTCCATTCCTCGAGGTCCTCTGCCAGCGTGACTCTGCGAGTCTTCTCCTGTGTCTGCTTCAGGTCCCCCATCGGGTTCCTCAGGGCCGTAGGCCGATGAGAACTCGGAGCGCTGACTGGGAGATCTCTTCTCTCTGCCAGTGGTTGGCCTGGACGAACTTCTTCTCTCCGAGGTGTGGGGCTCCTCTTTCGGCTTCTCTTTTTCCACCGCTGATTGGGGGCCAAATGGCCCGGCGTCAGGGAGGACTTTTGGGCGGCTAGCCCTCCCCCGCCTGCCTCCTATTTGGAAACTCCTCCTGACCGAGCGGGAGCGGCTTGAAGCTTCTGAGCCCGCAACTCGGCCTTTGCTGCCTCGGTCTGCTCCTCGGGCGTTGACAGGCTGGCTCTGTTCGGGATGATCTCCTGGTGGCGCGCCACTGCCCATCCACCCTCGACACTGAAGCTCACCTCCACGGCTTTGAACCGCTGAACCAACAAATCCCCTAGGCGGCCCAGGCTCCCCTCCAAAAGGAGGTCCAGCCCGGTTGCCAGGGTAGTCAACTCCCGGTGGGATCTCAGGCCCATCTTCTGAGCCGGAGTATGATTCAGAACAACTTGATTCAGATAGCTCAGAACTTTCCCTTCCGCGGGATCTGATCCGGACGCCTCCCCCCGGGCGGAGGGTCGCACACATCTGTGCATGCGTCTGGGGCCCCATTCAACATGTGTATTAGCATTAAATTTGTGCATGCGTCTGCGGCCCCATTCAACATGTGTATTAGCATTAAATTTAAGGGAGGGACACTCACCTATTCTTGCAATAGATAAGAAGTTGTGAGGGCACATATGGGGCACGCGCCCCCTGCACCCATGTACACGTGTATCTTGCCTCTTCTGTATGAATACTAGAAGTCAAAGACCAGAAGGTTTGAAAGCTCCTCCACAAGCTGTCCCAGAACATAGCCTACTTTCTTGCCTTATCACGATGGATCAAGGCAATCTTGCGTGACCCCTTGAGGATTACCTGGAGATCCTTTCTGTGGGTATGCGCAGGCGTCTCCGATCCCACCGGCTTAGCAACCACAACTCAGAGTCGCTCATTTCTACTGGTGGACGAAATCCTCTTAGGCACAACCTAAGAAACTTTCAAATGACGATTCCCCTGTAAAACACCAACCAACAGTGGTTTCTGGTGGTTTGAAAAGTGGTGCAGGATATCGTCCATCCACAGTACGGCCCGCTACTAAACAACGCCCACACGAATGCCAGAGAAATTCAAACCTCTCCGTGAAGCGCGGCTGTCTTTCGGAAAGCCAGGCTTTGGTTTACATCCAGACAGCAGTCAAACATCCTATTTCGGGAGCCAATAGAAAAGGGACATCACCGAACTAGATGGAATGTGCCCAGTGCTTCCAGCTTCCACAACAGTAGTGGACCCAGGGGAAATTATCATGTAAAACCTACAGGTACACCGCCCTGGTTGCCTACTAAACTGGGTGCTAAATATGGGGCTCGGAAGAAAAGCTCCGCTGTTGGTGTCCCTTTGGGTCAATTCATTCTGGGCCATTGAATATGTAGCACCCAGTGGGCGTCTTTAAATAGGGCACCAAAAAAATGGTCCCTTTGGTTGTCTCCTTTAAAATACCCCCAACCAGCCTCAGGGCCCAATCCAAAAAGAGAGACAGACCCTCCAACTGCTCCCGGGCACACTTAGCACCCAGCACACTAGGTATCCAGGGCGGTGTACCTGTAGGTGGTACATGATAATTTTCCGTGGGTCTACTATGTGGGTATGGGTCAAATTAAACGTTTCCATTTACCAGGGTTCTATATTGGGTACCTATTTTTGACCCACACCCATGTAATGGAAACTGGAAGCACTGGGGAGGACATTGAGCCCCGAAGCTCAGAAGTCTCAGGCATCGGCAAGGGCCGAACGGCCTTCACCAGCTTCAGCAGCCGCAAGATCCGCAGCATTCTCACGGCGCGTTTGGCGGAAGAAGCGGGAAAAGCGCAGAGTCGTGCAAGAAGCTTTGGACCGGGCCCTGGGGCATGGCTTGGGTCTCTTTCCTTTTTCTAGGGGTACCTTCTTTCTAGAAAACCACCAAACACCCTGGGGAAACAGCTGGTTCTTGAACCCCTAGACCTTTGGTTTCCCTTTGAAGTCACAAAACAGGTTCCCAAGAACCTTCACACAGTCAGACCCCATGGAAGGGAAAATGAAGGAAACCAAAAGGGCGAAAGGGGACAAGCGTGAGCTAAGTCTGGCCATGCGAGTTGTATGATTCTGGGGTGCGTGTCTCAAACATGTCCCAATTGCCCAGCGGCCATGGAAAGAAAGAAACACTTGCTGGTGAGCAGCAGGGAATGACCCGGGAGTGAACCTCGGCTTGCCCTCAAACGAAACCACAAGTTGTTTTTTTGTAGGGGTCATTCCCTCATTCCCTGCTGAGCACCAGCCAAAGAAAGAAAGAAAGAAAAAAAGAAAAAAGAAAGAAAGAAAGAAAGAAAGAAAGCAAGTGCGTGTTCGACGGGCTTGTTCCCAGAAGTGCCTAGAAACTTCACTCAAAGCTAGGGCCCAGTGGGAATTTGGAACCCCTCATATGATTCCCTCTCCAACGTTTTGCCAAATGGGGTTCCTGATTTGGCAGGGTCTGTTGTCACCCGTGCTGTTGGTTTGAGGAAGGAGTGGCAAGTGTCCCAAATAATCAACACCTCGTGTTCCCGAATTTGTCGAGGGATTGACACTGGGTACACTTAGAACTCTTACGCTAATCCCCAACAACCAACCCCGCAGGATGAACCCCAGATTGGGGCACGCAAATCTAAGAAGCCAACGCCAATTTCAACAATTCATGACCTACCTCTTGTAAGTGGATTACACATAAATCAATCACTACTTCAGTGGGCAACGGACAGGCAAAACATGCAGTCACCAGTCTGAATCAAGGGACGAAGCAACTTTCTTCATGAGGCAAAGCAAATCCCTCGCTCAGGTCGCTTTGCCTAAACCATAGAACTACCATGCCTCGACTCGGCGAACACCCAAGTACACGGCTCCGAATCGACCCGATCGCCAGAGCAGAAATTTGGTCCCCAGAAATATGTAGCTGTCTTTTGGTACATCCAGGGACCAACTGTCCCCGAAACCGCGACAAGGACTCTGCCCGGGCAAAGGAGCAACCTTGCCCACCCAGACGCTCCCGATTGATTTTGGGCCTTCAAACGGCAAGGTTTTGAGACCCCAAAACCCCTCTGAGGTGCCAATGGAGGCTTCCCTTGGAAGCCCCAGGAGGGTCTTGGCAAGAAAGGAATAGCATAGTTTGTCTGGATGGCTCAACCCCTTTCCCCTTCGCACAGAGCTGAACGCTTTGCTGTTAAGCGGGAAAGAAACACATGTCCCAACGAGTTAAGGTTTAAAGATCTTGAAGCCTACAGATGCCACTTTTTTGTTCTCAAATCGCCGTCAAGTTACGCCCTTCCAGCACTCCCGGTTGCCCCTGTCACGAGGCGCTGTAAAAATGCACGCCTCAGCATGCGTACCAGCAGCACCAAGCGCCCAAAGCCGCTGGTCATGTTCACGCCTGAGGTGACTGTGTGACTGAATCCAGTTCCAGTGATCTGTGTGTTTTAAGCAAAAGAACGTAACCTGAGCATCACATGGTTCAGCCCATGACCATCCCTACCCCTACCTTAAGTAAAAGGAAGTTTTGGAGCAGCAATCTGCGATTGTTATTCAACAAAAATGAGGACACCCTTGCCATGGTGATCTAAATCCCTAAGGGGTTCAATGCCTATTTGTGACAATCCATGTAGGAACCTCAAGTCAAAAGGGTGTTTGGAGCATGGCCTACATAATCTGAACATATGATATCAGGGATCCAAGTAAAGGACCTACATCATGGTGAGCTCACTTTGCCCCGGGGGGAGCTCGCCATAAAGCAAGCCGATTGATCTGAATTTTTGATTCATCCCGACGAAATCATAAACCCTGGGGGGCACGCCTCTTTTATCCAGGCTCCGGATCAGCGATTCTTCGCTTTTTAGGGGAACCCCACGTGTTCTCAAGAACCGGCCTGGAGGTCTGGGTTGGGATGATGGACAAATGATTTGCCCTTGCGCTTTGTGTTGCTTTCCGGCCTGTCTGCTATTTACAGGGGAGCCACAAGGAAACCTTCCATTTCCGTTTTTTTGGATCCAACCAATTTTTGGAAGCCTATGCCTTGTTGGGCAAAGGCCTGGAAACTATTTCGCCAACGCGACGACCGTTGGCTCGTCGTTGCCTGAAACATCACCCCAATGGGTTGACCCCAAATGAGTTCTAACAAATCCCAGTGGATCCCAGACAAGCCCTTATAGGCAACCAGCTCTTGTCTTTTTAGTTTTTAGATGGTTCCCTTGGCTACCTACTATACAAGCAAATGGATCCACTGAAAATGGGTCCCTTTTGGATTCTACACACATGAGAACGTCCTTTGGTGCAAAGCGATCGGAACCCGTCTATGAGAACCCGTTGAACGGGTGCCCCCTGACCGGAAACCCTGTCGACAGCCAGCCGTGTTGCTGCCGGGATGATCGCTTACTGGGAAAAACTCCTACCACACAAGATACCCCAACAAAGAAAACACAAGGCATGGTAGTCCGGCCACCGACTCTGCCCAAGGATTTTGGTTGGGAACATCATGGAACATCCCAAATAACCTTCTACCCGCCGACAGAGAAAATCAAACAACTGTATAATTCTGTATAATGAGTTTCGGGCGTGCAACATTTGAAACACAAGTGTTGAAGCGCTGTTTTCATTTCGGGTCCACTAATCGCGAAACACACACACACACACAAGTACAGCTTCGCCCAAAACCAACCGCCGGGTTTTAAATCGTGGCTCAGCACTGGGGCCCCATCTGAAGACCAGCGAGGCAATTGGCACTGCCTTCGATCGAGCACGTTTGTGTCCAACCCGTCTCGTGGGTAGAACGGCCTAAACACATAGCTATGCATGCATGTATTTTGTTTGTACGTATGCCATGACATGCTGTGACATGGCATGAAAGGACATGTCATGCATCATGCATGTAAATGTGTTGCCTAACGATTGAACACCAACTGCATATAGCAGGTTTAGCGGGTAGCTTCCGACCCAACCGTCCAAAAAGGGGATCCTCAATTCAGTAAGCCCGCATTTACATATATATATATATATGATACGGTACGAGTATCGAATTTAGTTGGAGACACCTTCTAAGGGTGCCCGCTGTCTCTGGGAAGAGACATACTCACTCCAGGCAACGCCTATCCCCTTGCTCAAAGGCAACCGATGGAACTCCCGTTTCCCGGTTCTTCGGGGTCCGTCCTCCGGCCGAAGTGCTTCCCCAGTTGGGGCAGGTCGTGTCAAAGAGCCACGTGCGTTGGTGGATGGTCACCTTGTTGATGAATGTTAAGCCCTGAGAAATGAACCCGGCAGAGCCATGGAGCGGTGTGGAGAATTCAATTCCCTCCGCAGAAAGCCCATAGGCCCCTTCAAAGTGGGACACCCTCTGCTAAGAATCCAAGGGTTGATTGATTCTGGGTTACCATTGAAAGGACCCACGCCACAACAAAAGTTAAAGGAAACCAGGACACAGCTATCCCACTGGGCAACTGAGAGAGAATTTGCGAATCTCACTGATCGTTCCAAAACATCCCCGTTGATCTAGACCATAATATAGCTTCTTTTTCTTCTCCGGAGCACAGTAATTGAACAATTCGATCCCACGATCATGAGGCAATTTGGTTTGATAGCACCCCAAAGGTTGCCCCAATGGGAGGTTTGGAGTTTTTTCGATTCCACGCATCCGGGCCCAAAGGTCCACCACGCCCAGCAGAACGATCACAAAGTCCATCCAGTTCCAGAAAAAGTCCTGGCAGAACGAGACAACGGGGAACAGAGCCAATGGTTTCCTTCCCGTTTTTAAGCGGCGCATTTCGTACACCCAGGCTGAACAATTGGTGGTAGGCATCCATTTCTGCGAAGCTCCATGTTATCCAACTGTTGGGCGGAAGAGATGCTCCTCTCACGATGCGGCCCAAAAGAACTGGCTGCCTTGCAATCCCTGGAAGGCTTCAGAGAGCTGCACGTCCAAGGCATCAAAATGCGGGTGTTCGTTGCGGTTGGAGTCGGTTGAAGAGCCCCGGTCCTTGGATTCGCCAAGTTGGAAACCTAGGTCCCATAGTGGGTTGCAGCCTAGGTTATAAACCGGGTACTCATTTGGCCATGTGCCATGGCCATCGTCACGGCTCCCTTTTTGGAAGCCTTTGGAACCTTGACCAGCCCTACCGGATGCTTCGGCCACGGCGCATAGCGAAGAAGGAACGGGGCCAAAGGGTCGTCTTGACCATTGGGCAACGACCAGTTGTCTATTGACAAAACGGAAACGCATGAGTGAAAACAGAAGCCAAGTCACGTCAGTCAGATCCGGTCTCAGATCCGGTCAATCCGACTTCGGCCAGAGTGGAGAGTTGTAGTGACCATGAAAACATGAAATTATATCAAAACAAATGCCAGAAACGGGTGGCTGGCCCGCCACCATCGTTCAAACCGACTTTTGTTGGCCTTCTTTGGAAGGAAACCTTACCAGCTTCCCCTCCGCGTTGGATTTCTTTGGAAAACAAGGATCTCAGGAACTTATCCCTAGAATAAATATTCCCCAAACGTATACCGTATACCCCTTATATAACCCCGCATGCCCCTGTATAATCCGTTCCTCCGAACAATAAAGGTCTCTCTTTTCCCCAAACAGTGCAAGTCCGGAAATGCTAAATTTAGAATAGGCCAATTCTGCAGCAAATCTACACCAGCGCTTTTCCCTCGTGATCCCAACTCGAGCCGTAGGGGGCCTTTCGAAACGGCAGCCTCCGAGTTAAAAATGTTCGAAGCGGAAATCAGCGACATGTGTTTGGAGTTTTGTGTTGGTTTAGCAATAAGCTTTGTGTTGGTTCTCGAAGAGCACCAAAGAGGACAGACCGGAACTTGGGGCCCCCAATAATGAGAATGTTGTTGGTGTCGTTGTCTTGCTTGTTTTTGGCTCCTGCAAGACTTGTGCTTTTATTTATTATTCTTATCTTTTCTTTTGGGGGGGTCCCGTTGAATATTAGGGGCAGGGATTACACCCCATGTATACACTTTGTGCACCCCAGAATATATGTATATATATATATATATTATTATTATTACTATTATTATTATTTACACACATATATATATATGGTCACCCCCCCCCCCCAAAGATCCACGCCTAGGCTAAAAACACTGTAAATACCGGTGTTTTGTAGCATTTTGGGATCATCAGAGTGGCCAAATGCGAGACAAAACAGGAACGTCGAAGTAGCCAGCCTAAGCAAGTCTAAACAAACACTGTCACCCCCACCCCTGCGGACAGAGAGGCAGCTACCGACAGGGAAGACACAGCGACAGACAGAAAAGTATAGATACAAAAACAGAAACACGAGTCACGAGAACAAAAAAAAAAGACAAACAGAGGCAGGGACAAAACAATAGATGCAGCAGCTGTCCCAGCAGTGAATGACACGAAGATAGGGACAGATAGCGGCAGGGTAGAGGTGCGTGTTGTTTTGCCCGGGCTGTTTTTTCTTAAGTCTGGTTTTTGTTAGGGCTGGAAACATCCCCAGCAACACCTCCAGAAGGGTTCCTCTTAATCCTCCTCCCCGCAGCAAGCGAAACTAGCAAGTATCGCTGACATGCAAGTTGTAGGACTTAAGTGACTGTTGAGGGAGCCAAATAAGTTGGGATTGTCTGAAAGCAGGGGGGCCCAACAATGGCGTGCTTTTCGATCTCCCCCTAACAAAGGTGCTTGCCTGGGGCAGAGCAATATGCTCCGTGCACTTCCAGGTTAGCAGCAACAACAACAACAGCAGCACCAAACACACAAACAAGTAACCAAACAACCAACAACCACACCAACACCGCAACCGACACCGATAGCCACACTGACTCCGACACCGACACAACAACTACAAACAACAAACACAAACAAACCAATAAACAAACAACAAAAAACGGCGGACAACACAGACAAACAACAAGAACAAACAACCAACAACCACAGCAACACCGACACTGACACCGACACCGACGCCGATAGCCACACTGACTCCGACACCGACACAACGACAACCAACAACAAACAACAAACAAACAAACAAACAAACAAACAAACAAACAAACAAACAAACAAACAAACCAAGAAAACCAAGAAACAAACAACAAACAACAGACAACCAACGAGAAACAAAAGATGCAAAGAAGCAAATAAACAAAGAAACAATGCAAGAAAGAAACAATGCAATAACTAAAGAATGAAATAAATAATGACTGAATGAATGAAAGAAAGAAAGAAAGAAAGAAACAAACAAACAAGCAAACAAGCAAACAACCACACAAACCCACAAACAAACACACACGGACAAACAATCAACCAAACAAAGTTGAAGCAACCAACCAAACACAAGAAAACCAGTCAGGAAGCCAGGAAGCAAACCAACCAACTAACTACAACAAACAAACAAAAACATATCACATCTCAGCCACACCCAACGCAAAAAAAGAACTACCTTGAAGCAACACTAGTTTCTGTGTGCGAACTACAGCATCGTCTCTCTCAAATGACAGCAGTTGCAATTCAGCCGCGGCCGTGCTTGTCGCAGTGGCTTGCATGGCCGAGCGCCACTGCGGCATCCAGGACCCCGCCAATAACCTGGGCCAACCGCGCAAGCGACAAAACGCAGGAACGCACGCAACACGGCAACACGTCACAACCCGCGAGTGGCCTCCGCGGGGACGCGAACCAGGAATGGGTTCGCAGCGTCCGTGTCCAAGGCCCAACTCGCCAGGAAGAGGTTGAGGCGAGGCCCAAAAACATCCTGTCGCATGGCAAACGGTGCGAAGGAACATGAAGGAACCAAATCAAACAAACTTCATAGTTGTTTGTATTTTTGGTTTTCGGATGAAACAAACAAATTGTGTTCTTAATTGTGTGCTGTTTGTTTTTTTCGTTTCTCTAACTTTTTGAAACAAACGAAGCGGCTCAAAGAGCTCTCTCAATCCTGGGCCGCAGGGTGGAGGAAGTCCTCGCCCGGCAACAGCATGTTGAGCAGGCAGCAGTGGGGACTGCCCTCCACGCTGCTCCTTGGCAGAACCATTTCGCAACGCCGCTGTCTGGCATGTCATATGTGGGGAGATCTCCTAGGCCCATGGGACCCGCCTCGGACTCGTGGAAGTTGTGCTTTGCCAGGGAGTGGAGGACAAGCCTCTGGAGTGTCTCCTTGACATCATCGGGGGTCACTTCGCCGGCCCTGAGCGGTGCCATGATGCTTGGCGAAGGAAGTAGATCGAGTCAAAAACAAGCTTGAGCTTGACAGATGGCTGGCATCAAAATTGGCTAGCAGAAGATGCAGATATACAGGCGCAGGCTGGCAAACAGATGTGCAGATGGATTGCATGAGGTTTGACAAATGTGCAGACAGATGCATAGAATGGTTGCATCTTTCATCGATGTATGTGAGAACTGCCTGAGTTGAGTCCATACTCCCGGCCCAAGCTGGGGTGCACACATGCTATCTCGCACCGTTTCGCGCCAAGTGCGTGCCCTAGTAGTCAGAGACACCGGCTATATACAACACCTCCTCAGGTGTCAAAAGCACCTCGCCGGTCTCAATGACCTTCAATAGCTGCCCCTCAAACCGGAAGACTTCACAGCCTGGGCCAGGCATATGGTGAGCCATAGCACAAAACACATTTTTGTAATGCATTGATGACACACAAAGAAACGCCAGAAGTGACAAAATATCTGCCATATCAGGCCAAGAGGCCATCCTGCAGGGTCCCGATCTTCTCTGGCCAAGCATTGGGTGCTTGAGGAGAAGCAGGACCAACCTCTCCAGCCAGGGCTTTTATCTCCTTAATGAGCTCCATTGGCATCTTCCTTACAAATGGGGTGGGCATTTGCAGTTGCAGGATATAATGCAAAGGGCCGAAAACCGCGCGCGTGCATCAAACAAGTCTCACACGCAGCAGGCGTGGATCTTGGGGGGGGGGGTGAGCTATGGTCTAATACAAAGGGCCGAGAACTGCGTGCGTGCATCACAGAAGTCTCACACACAGCAGGCGTGGATCTTGGGTGAGCTAATATATATATATATATATGTGTATATATATATATATGTTTGGGGTCAGCACAGTGTGATACCCCCCGCCCCCCTGTGGGAATGGGGGGTGGGGAGAATGGTGGCACAGTGTGACCGCAAAGCCCCCCGCGACCATGGTTCCCACACCGCCCGCTGGGGTAGCAAGTAAAGTGCGTTTGCCACTGGCGCGTTGCAGCGCACTTGGTTGGCACTTGGTTGTGGCGCTGCAAACCACAAACTGCGTCGTGGCATCGCGCACTGTCAATTGCGACAGCGCTGCAACTTGTCGCGTGCTGCAAAATGAGCAAATCGCATTGCAGCGCATCACACGAACAGCGCCGCAAACGCGCCCACAACGTCGCGCGCACACTGGAGCAAGCCGCCCCACAAGCCCCCCCCAGGGGGCCCTGGATGGACCCTACCATTGGGGGGGTGGCTGGGGACGACGGGCGACGGGAACATATATATATATATATATATATGCATCCCTCGTCGACCTGGTACATACCCCTTAAATATCCCATATTAGTGGTAGCTCCAGGCCCCCCTAAGCAAAGGGTCTAACCATTTGTAGTTCTATGGCAAACCCAATGGGTTTTGCAAAGAAGGTCTCTCTGGCTAATTCGTCCACACCAAAGACTGTGACTTGTCGCTTGCTAACTTCCGTCCTCGGGAAACCAGATGCCCTTTCTGCCCAAAGCATCACGCTCCATAGGGTGTTAGCCTTGTTTAATGAAGCATCACTCCCTCAATACTGTGGATGGTTGCGAAATCCATTTCACACCGTTCAGAACCCCTGGCGTTCGATGATTCCCCAACGGAAATACCAATCAAACGTCATGGTTTCCACCACATTTTCTGTTTTTTGGTGCGAACGGATTTCGCAACCATCAGTAGCAGCTTTTTGTTAGTGGCTTGGAGCCCGATGATTTGGAGGTGTTCCGGGTTGGTGGTGTCCAATTCATTGACACCCTACAAGAACAACATGATCAGGAGCTCTTGCCTGGTTTTCTTCACAACCCTTGGCATGGCTGCAATTAGAAACAACAATTGTTGTTTGCAGCCCCCGACTAAAAGTTCAACAGAACATCCCCCCCCCCAAAAAAAAAAACAAGAGAAGTGAAGCTTTGCTTGTGGACGCCATTTGGCCATGGGTCAAAATCCCGGTTACTTTTCAGTGAACATCAACCAATCCAACCACTAAAATAGGTAGCCTAAAATTGGTGAATTCACCTACCAACCAAAATGGCATCCCATACCGGTTTTGATCCACGGGCGATTTGGCGTTGCCCGCCGTCTTTGCGGGCGGACGCCATTTGGCCATCGCCGTCCTCCTCGGAGGTGAAGAAGTGCTTGCAGCCCTCGAGGCGCACCCGCACCTCAGCGGCTGGGCTTTTCAGGGGTGGCAACCTCTTGATGGGGTTTGTCGACTTTTTTGGGGGTACCCCCAACTTCATGGGAAACCAAATGTGGTGGCTTTGAAGGAAAACCAAAAGGAAACCAAACGTTATTTGGTAGGGTTTTACAGGGAAACCATCCAGACTTTAGCACTTCGAAGGGGGACCTTATCAAAGAATTGGTGGTTAGGCCTCAATTTGAACAAGGCGGCCCATGCGTTTCACCACGGGGAAACCGTGCATGGGAATATCTACAGACTGGAAGCAGTGAGCAGGATAAGAGCAGACATAAGGACAACCGAGGCTAAATAAGTAAGGCCAAACAACAGGTCAAATGCGGCCTCAGCGTGACACACGTTGACCGCTGGTCGTGTTGGTGAGTTGCAAACATTGAAATTGAGCCAAAGTCTCTGATGGCAGGTTGCTCCCCGACGAAACTTGGAAAGCTACAGAGCTCTTGGCAAAGCGGGCCGTTGCGTGCTTGCGCTTGTGGGGCCGCTCCAACGCTGGAAGAACGGCAACGTTGGCACCTATTCAAAGGAAACCAAAGAAAAGAACAGCAGCTTTCTGAGATTAGAGCTCTCCGATCAGGAGCAACACTCGGGCAAAAAAAAGCCTTAATGGAACATGTCATGTTTTAACACATATCTTGAAATCAGTCTACATGTTGTAGCTGCACACACTTGGCTTGCTCATGCACCCTTACGCCGCCGAACACGCCCAATTCAGTAAGTCCAAAGTAGGCATGAATCTCAAGCATTGAAGCGACATGTTCAGGTAGGGTGGTGTCCGGTTGGCTCTAAAGTTTGTCCCAAATCTACCCCGGTTGATAGCCAAAGCCGTGCCCCCATTGGGCTTCCCAGTCTGTCAATATTCGGGGCCCGGAAGTGGGTGCCTCTAGCCCCAATCTTGCAAGCAAACCGCCACGAAAAGACGCAAGACCAGAGGTGCACTACGGTAAATTCGTTGGGGGGGGGGAGGTTCCTTGTTCCCCTACTTGCAATTTGGGGCACCTGTCTTCAAAAATGCCAGCTGGGCGAGACCCATCCGCCCCAGCACCCAAGAGTTCCATGCCTGAACGTTGCAACCAACCGCAAGCCATTGGCACGAGGGGTGGAAATGGATGGCGCAAAGTTTGCATAGTGGATGAGTAAACGGGGATACCTAAACTCAAAGGGAAGTGCGGCATTGACTTGCACAACCAACAAATTACATGCTTTCGGCTTTCAGCTCCCTGACTTTGCATCGAAAATAGTTCCGGTCCCGTAAACCAGGCATCCTTGTGGTTGGCACAAAAAACAACTAAGGGGCTGATAGTCCATGACCATTCCTGCCTCCAGTCAAAGGGCATTGGGGCCAGACACATATAATCTGCAAATTCTACAATAACTTCACAAAAAGCCCAAGAAAAGAACCTGGCATCATGGTGAGCTCGTCTCATCCCCAGGTGAGATCAACATATAGATATGCCGACGAGCGTAAATTTGCACCGAGTGCCGCGCCACAATCTCGAAAACGAAGAATAGGAGAATCCCCTGCCACGGTGTCAAGCTGAACTATCTGGGACGTGCCAAATATTCAGTGAGATTGAAGGGAGGGAGCAACCGGAAACTTATGGAACCGCCAGAACTTTCAAATCGGCATTGAAGCAAACAGAGGATAATGAATAGTAATGTACCAACCCCAGTGCACCCAGAAAAACCTTGACACAAATCCGGAAAAACAAAAAAATGCGCCTGTTTCAAAACTGTCCTTTTCCCCTCCCCAACTGTCAGCCAACACTTCAAATGGCCCAGTCTCCTCAGCCTCAGTTCTCAACGACCCATGCAACATGCAGAATGGAGAACTCAAAAACGGCAAACTAAGACTCGGAAGTAACACAAATTGCAATGGAATTCCATTATCCCCAACAGCTGAGAGCTATGGGGTCTCTGCCCGAACAGGATCTGGGGTGGTTTCGGGCATCTTTCAGGGATGGTTCCGGAGGGTTCTCGAGGTTCCGAGGCTACTAGGGATACCGCCTGGCCTTAGGGGAGAGGGTCTTGTGAAACATGAAGTGTAACTAGCCACTTGAAGCTATACATGATTCAGGCAAATGACCCAAGGCTTGTCGCTCATACCATATCTTCGTCCAAGAAAAGGATTCATGGGCCATTGCTCACTGAATCAAGCTCAAATGCCTCTGCAGCTGGATACCCATTGTCATTTGGGCTGCGAGGAAAGCGATACGAAGCATCCCGTACATGATTTCCCTTGACAAGGTCTCGGGATGCCTTCCATACTGTGGATGGAGATCCTGAACCAGGAAAAAGCATTGTTGGTTGGTATTTACAGGGATAAAGGCCAAGCTTGCTGGGTCGTTTCCCAGTTACCAACAAGAAACATGCGTCAAATCCCCAAACCTATTTCTTAGAATCAAGTTTCCAGGGTTTCTTCGGTGGTGCGACATGGATTTCGTCCATACACAGTACGGATTTGGGGCTCGCCTTTCAGCAACCTCACAAAGGCCAAGCCGCGGACCCTGTCCGGGAAAGCCGGGCAGCCAAGCACTTGGTGTCCAGTTTGACCATCTCCCTTATCTGAAAATGGGCTTGGTAAACATGGCCCCAACTTGCTGCAGGAATTGCCTGAATTTCCTGCAATGACCCCTCCTCCGAGCCTCCTCCCAAACAGAAGAGTTGGCGAGTGAGATACACAAGTCGAAGGGAAGTGAGGTTCTGGAGCTTCACCTCACCCCCTACACCGGGGTGAAGAAAATGATAAATGGCACAATTCCCATGGGAGCAGGGTCAAGAAACGCCTACCAAAATTATGGAAGTCTGCCATCTGGGTGTTTAGGTTTCCCTTGATAACCATCCCCAAAATTGGCGCCCTCACACCCATCTACTTGCTCCCAATTCCCCATGTCCAATTGCTTAAGCACCCTGGAAACAAGAAAATATGTCCAGAAGTTCCTTTAAAACCAACAGGGGAAAATAAACATATTCGTAGGCAAATGGAAGCCAACTGTAAGTGGTGATTTGAATTGGTTGTTTCCGGTCACTCTCGAAGCGCTTCGAATGGATTAAACCCTACAAGCAAAGCAAACCCCAAAACGAAACCACCAATTGGGTGTAGAGTGTTAATTCAGAGTCCACAGGGGCGCATTGATCAGGAGTTGCCCTTTTAGCAAGAAAATAATAATCTTAGGGGGTTGTTCTGATTCTTAATACGAAGTTTATCAGGGTCTATTCAACAGACATTCTCAAAATGATGCGTGCAGGAGTGATGTGAGAAACGCCCCTGACTGAATTCAAATGCATGGCGTGGATGGCAGCCGGAGACCGGGTTCTGGCGATGGCATGCAGCGACTGCGCCCGTCATTCATCAATCTCGCGGCCAAATTCACGCAGATCATTGACCACTGCCCAGCGAGGGCGCGGGCCAGGCCAGAATTGGGTCAAGATCTTCATCCTTGCAGCCCCAGGCAATACTTGGCAAGGTCTAGCTATGTCGCGTCACCAAGGAATTCACCGAGTCAAAAAAACGGTGCGAAAATGGCCAAGGCCGCTTTAAACTTGTGGTGTACGAAAAAACTAAGATGGCCTTCCGAAACAGCATAAAGTGTTTACGAGCTCAGGGAGTGAGCCAAGAAACCCAAATGACTGGACGGTTGCTCCAGTGGCGTCTCGGCGTCTCGGCGTCTCGGCCTGGTTGACCCACCACCACGCAGGTGCAGGGGAGTCGGTTTCCTAGGGAGCGAGAGACAGTAGACCCCGCAAACCATAGGAACCGTGGGGCCGGAATTCAAGGGTTCCACCACTGATTCAAAGCCGCAAGGCGAACCATACGAAGGTTAACTTTAGGGCCTTGGTCTTTGTTCGCTCGTAGTCACTCAGTGACTTTAATCCTCACGCTGCAATGGCTCCTCTTGCTATGGCTCTCAATCAGAGGGCTGTCCTTTTGAGGCAAGATCAAAACCGACCCGGTACATTCCTACACTAACATGAGTGCATTAACAAAACCAGTCCCTGGCGATGGGTCCCGTGCCCTTTGGCTTAGCGCCGAGGAACTTGGAATCTGTGCATGTTCCATTCGAGCGGGGAACAGCCCGTGAACTCCTTTGCAATACCATCCCCTCATTATATATATATATACCTGCCAGCTTACCATAAAAGTTCTCTGCTCATGGGGCGTTCTCAAACAATTGGTCACCAAACCAGCTTAGCACTGAGCCTCAAAAAGGTGAAAAGGCCTTTGCTGCCACACTTCGCCCGGAAAGCTCGCCAGCGCTGGAAGTGGCAAGTGACTAGGCTCACATCAAGGCCTCCTCTGGCTACTACAGACTCGACGCACTAGCCCAACTGATAACATAATTATGCACCACAAATTACCGCAAGATATCACAAACCAAGCTCCCAAGAATTCTGCAAAAAAAAAAAATCGGGAACTGGGTCAGACCGGATAAGAGCAGACTGCTGAGAGTCCTTCCCACGTAGCCCGGAGATACCCTGAGTCGGTGGAGTCGCTCTGGAACGAATCTTTGCAAGTCTGTTGGGGCCGGCATGTTCACAGAAGGCAGGTAGCCAAAGTGCAGGGATCTCTGGTTGGGGGCCACTCCCTTGGATCATCTTCAGGATCCAACAACTTTTGACCCCAAATCCCAAAATACCGAGAAGAGTGAAGCTTGGTGGTGAACGGCCACAACATGCAGGGAGTTCCAAAAGGAAGAGTCCTCAAACTTTGTTGCGCCTGCCCAAAGGGTCCCAAGGATAGGCGAATCAAAGGGACAAATTGTTGCCGCAAGTGCGCCTGGACCAGGTGTGTAGGGGTAACATCCGCATCTTCTATCGCTCGCCCTCTTCGTAGAGCTGCCTCGTCAAGTACCGCGCCAAGCCGGGCTGAATTCCACCGCCTGCTGCTGAGAGGACAGCCGCCGCAGCTTTCGCCGCCAGCAAGCTCAGCGAGATCGTTTCTCGCTGGTCGTGCCCATGAGCCGCATCGTGGCCCGTGGCTGCGCAGGGCAGCATGAGCAGATTCTGCGGTGTGCCACCCACGTGGGTGCAGCAAAACGCTGCCAGTCAGTGAAGTCAATAAGCTCCAACAATCGCAACTAAGATTCAGGAAAACACAACTTAGATTCCATTGGTGGCTCTTGGATTACTCTGACTCGCACCTGTGTGAGGGGGAATTGACTGCTCGGGGAGACCACCTCACTGGTTCAATGCCTGGCAAGCGGGTCCTGGCAGGAGTCGGCGGTGGCTTGAGCTTGGGATTGGGGACTCTCCAGCCATCAGGATTCAGTTCCCCACAGAACGTTGGAGGGTTGGATTTACTTGCCCCCCCCCCCTAGCCTGACCCGCAGTATATAGATTGATGGGGACTCGCTCGTGGGGCTCTTAATTGTGTTAGGGGGCAGCTAGATTCAGCATACACGCACTTTGTTTAGATGCAGTATTTTTTCTGTCTCACGCGAAATCACCCACAAAACGCTCAACTAGGCACTAGTGGGAAAAACACGCAGCTGGAACATGTTTTGGCATGCGTCCGCAAACCCATTTCTCCGCTCTTTTGGGATAACATGAGCCAACTCGTGCCGTATCAGGGCTTCCGCTGACATCATTTTCTGGAAACACAGGCACGCGGAAGATGCAGGTGTAACTAACTAATCTCATTTTTTGCGCCGGCCCTTCGCGCTGAAAGACGTGGATGGCCATCGCAGAGCTTCATCATCCTGGTCTCGGTGCACCGGTGCGCCTGGCGCGATTTGACAGGGAGAGGGTTGGTCGTTTGCAGAGTGCGTCGGCCCAGTCAAAACCTAGAAAAAGCCCGTTTGGGTTGGGTGGGGATTTGCTTATTAGTTGCCACAGGAAGCTTTATGCGTGCCATGAGTCTGGCTCAGCGCTCGGGAGCTGGGGACTAGTGGGGACCTGGCGATGTCGTCTGGCCGCGCTCGCCTCTTCGTGGAGCTGTGGCATGCTCTGGGGTTAGATCGTGACTCACGCAGCCGATCACGGCGCAGGACAAAGTTCCCAGTTTTCTTTTTACTTTTAGAATCTTTTAGAGATCGAACTTCACATTCCCCTTGTCAACTTCGGGGCCTTTGGTTTCAGTTGAGGAGGCGATCCCCGTCACCCCGACGCCATCACAGACGCCCCCGCTCCCCAGCGACGCCCCCTCGGTTCCGCAGCCCTCGCGGCCGCGCTCGCAGTCCTGCTGGACGCCGAAGTCCTGACCGAGGCCGTCCTCGCAGTCCTGACCGAGGCCGTCCTCGCAGTCCTGATCGAGGCCGTCCTCGCAGTCCTGGTCGAGGCCGTCCTCGCAGTCCTGTTCGAGGCCGTCCTCGCAGCCAGGATCCTGTCTTGTCTGCGCAGCGCATCCAGGAGATCAACAACGAGAGGGCCCGGCGCGGACTTGCAGCCCGACGGCCAGCTCAGCTACGCCGCAATGCCCGCCGACCACCGCCAGGTGGCTCGGCATCGCAGCCAGTCGTGCATTTTTTCATACCTCGCTTCATGTTTTAGGCCACTCTAACCTTGGCCCAGCATCCGCAACTCTTCAACCACCTCATGCTTTCCATTCTAGTTCTGTCAGCTGCAGGTGTGCGCCGTCCTGTCCAGGCTGACACTGCTGGCGCTGAGGGGACCTCAGCGGTCGGACCAGGAACCTCAGCAGCCGATGCAGCTGAGGAGGCCTCAGCTGCCGGGCCTGCAGCCGTCACGGTGGTGGATGAAGAGGACCAGGAGGGCAAGGAGGGCGAGCAGGAGGGCCAGCAGGACGGCGAGCAGGAGGGCCAGCAGGATTCCAACCCACACTTTGACGAGTGGGCAGGAGGGTCTGGAGATGAGGCGCAGGGAAGACAAAACATTGCTAGCAGTTTGAGAGGACTGGTACTTGTGCACTCATGGGTCATGACACCGCTCCGCGCAGGTCCTGCCATCAGTTGTCTGGAGTCAGCAGAATGGCGCCCGCTTCTTCGTGGGCGGGCTGAGCAGTGGCACAGACTTGCCCGAGCTTCGGCGGCACGGTGTGCGCCTCGTCGTGGTGTGCCTCGACCGCATGCCTTACGATCCGCCAAAAGTGGCAGATCTCCGCTATACATCCAGAGCCTTGGCTTCTCAAGTCCATATGTTCTGTGACATGGCTTCTGTCTTTAAACAGCACTAGATGACGGAAACTCAGCACAACTTGAGGTGGAACATCGGGTATGCCCCGCAGGCCAAATCGGCCTTCGACCAGCGCGTTCGCCCTGCGGTCAACGAGGCAGTCAGGGCTGGCCACGGGGTGCTCTTCCACTGTCGCAAGGGCAGGCATCGCTCTGCCCTAGCAGCTGCAGTGGCCCTGATGGTGGGGCTGGGCTATCAGTTTGACGAAGCTGCCAGGATGGTGCAAGACGCCCGTCCTTGTGCCCAAGTTTGGAGGGCCTACTCCACTGGCACTGCCCAGCGCTGGATCCAGCTGATCCAACGGGAGCACCAGTGACCTGGGGACCTGGGGACTCGGGTGCCACCACAAATTGTACACCATTTTTGTGTCATTTGCGCATTCAAACAAGTGAGCGGTGGGGCCTGGGGACCTGGGGACTTGGGGATCTGGGGACCAGCAGCCACTGAGCAAAAAAAAGTGGCGTAGAGTCGGATGTGTTTTTGGGAACAGTCAGCAGCCTTGTTAGTCTTGGAGAGTGGGTCGCGCTTTGAACTTTGAACTGATCCTGTAGCTCCTGAGACCTCAGTCCAGTGTGTTGATGGTGATGTTGCCGCGCCCGCCAGGATTGGCGCCCACGACCGCTGCTCGGGGCCCGAGGGGGAATGCAGAGAGCGACGCGACACGCCTCACCGACTCCTCGCACCCGACTCCGTACCCGACGCGCCCGACGACGCGCCCGACGACGCGCCCGACGACGCGCCCGACGACGCGCCCGACGCTGCGCCCGACGCTGCGCCCGACGCACCCGACGCCGCGCCCGACACCGCGCCCGACCCCCAAAACTACGCCCGACATGGCCTCGGGGGTCTGTCACATCAACTGAGCAACTGTCCACTTGTCTCCAGCCTGAACAGGCTGCTGCTCCAGCCAGTCCATTCCAGCTCTGGGGCCTCATATTTGAACAGGAATCCAACTGGTCGAGCAAGGAACCGAGCACTTTGGTGGCAGGGGGGAATTGAAACTTGGGGAGCTGTGGCTCCTGTAAAGCAGCTTGGGGGGGGGGGGGGTGGTAGAGAATTGGACCCCCAAACAGCATTTGAAACAGTGCAGTTTCCGACGCACTTCTGAAAAATTGGTGGCCAAAAGACAAGTCCCCACAGGGCATGTCTGGGGGGGCTGTTCAGTTTGGGGGCGGGCTTCTATGGGGAATTGTGGAATTGGAGCAGTTCAAGTGCTGTAGGAGGGGCTTGGCAGGGCGAGGGGCTGGGAACTGAATCCTCAAGGAGTTTGATTTGGCTCACCAACACAGCGGGGGGGGGGGGCTGAATCCTCTCTTATTGCAATTCAATTTCTTTGCGGAAAGAGGGGCTTGGTGGCCCTAGGATCATGTCAGTTCCCACGCACGAAAAGGGGAAGGGGTTTGGTGAATAAAATGAGGTCTGGAGGGGTGGGGAACTTGGGAGTGAAGGAGTGTTTGCGCTGCTTGGAGCAGGTCAATTCCCCACACACTTGGGGGGGGGGGGGCAGGCGGGGAATTGAATCATTTTGTCGGGCAGTTCAATTCCCCATGTAAGGGGGGGGGGGACCTGGCGGCTCTGGAGGGGAGGTGGCGGTGGGGAATTGAACCATGTTGTGCACAGTTCAATTCCCCACAGACTTGGAGGGACGGGACCTGGCGGGGAATTGAATCCTCAAGCATCCAGTTTGCACTGAAAAAGGGGGCTGGCGGGGAAGTGAATCCCCAGCAAGCATGATGTGGACCAGCTCCATAGCAGTTCAGTTCCCCATGCCCTTGAACAAAAGGAGCCTGGCGGGGAATTGAATTGCGTGGGGCGGGAAATGAATCCCCTCGCTTTTTATCCAGACGCATGCGCCCCCACTCACACACACACACACCCCTGCCTGATATCAATGCCCTTCCAGCAAACGTGCCTAGACTGAGTCCCCCAAAAATTAAGCTTTGCCAGCTTAGCACACCCCTGCCCAAGGCCTGGGTTGGATGGCGAGGCTGGGCTGTGCCGCGCCTGGGCGAAGGGGAAATGATTCAAAGTTGGAGCGGAATTGGCTCACAATCAACTGCATGGGTTGCTTTCTTTGAAATCCACTCCAGCCCTGTCTGTCACTAGGCTCTCTAACTACTTGTCAGCGCACCTCTCTTTCCAGGCCGCTGATGCTGCCGCCAGAACCCAAGCACTGAGCGGCACTCTCAGAGTGTCCCCAGATTGCCAGGGTCCCCATGTCCCCATTGCCCCAAGAAAATTAAATCAAACTTCCCTTAAATCAAACTTCCCCTACAAGTTGATGGCGACGGCAGGAAGAGTTGCCTATCCCATCACCAGCCGCCAAGTGTTCCGTGGCAAATGGGAGTGGAACGGATTCCGGTCCAGGGAAGTGTCCTGAGCATACTCGCGAGGCTCCCTAAGCCAGCCTAGCGGGGCTCGCTCATACCGCCGCGTCTCCACCAGCTCCGTGAGTGCTTGCGCAGCTTCTGCATAGCCAGCCTCCTCAGCCCACTGCGCGAGCGCCAGGTAGTTGTCAATCAAAGTTTTTGGCAGCGGCTTGTGCGCTACAAGCTGGCTGGGCAGCACTTCGCGAATGAGCGGAGAGTGTTGCCTCTCCTGCAAGCACTGGAGAGGTGGCTGTTGCAGCCGTGTGTCACTCATGTAAGCCTTCAAGCACAGCATGATGTCACTGGAGTTGGCGCACCATCTATCTTCTGTCCCATTGCGCAGTTCAGTCTGCCACAGGTCACGCCTTGCCTTGAAACACCAGGAGTGCGGGGCATCCACACCTTGACGGTTCATGAAGGCGCTGTGCCACGACAAAGGGGCAGCCAGGAGCTCGCCGACCCAGCCCTTCCAGTCACGGATGCCGTGCAGGTGTTTGGCGTGGACGCACTCCTGTCAAGTCATGTTTTTTCCCGCTCCCCTTGCAGCCAATCCCCAAGTCAGCAGTCACTGTGCCGACGCAGTGCGCCTGCCATGCTGCCATCTTGTCCTCCAGCTTGCCTTGCACATATTTCAGGATGTCTGTCGCATTGTTGAACTTGACCAGGTCCAGCAGCCAGGAGGTCACACAGCCAAACCTCACTTGCAGACCCGGAGTGAGCCGGAGTTGGGGCCCCCTGACTCAACCCTCGATTTTCTAGACTGCCTGGCAAGGAGCAGCTGGTCGCAGTCTTCATGCGTGTGCCCCACTGTCAGGAAGTTGACCGTGACCGTGCGGAACAGTTTCAACATTGCCCAAGTTGCACACACTGCCATGACCTCTTTGTTCTTGGCCTGCGCCACAGTGTTGTCCGACTGAATCAGCAGGTGTGGAGGTCCCAGCAAATGGTGCACTGTGCATGCTGGCTCCTCTTCCTGATGCGGATGTACCGCCTCCAGCACTTCCACCGTGCGCAGAATGTGCGATAGGAAGGGGGGCCGTCTTTGGCTTGCTTGGTGGCGCCTGATGGCAGGTGCTCTTTGATGGTGTCCCAGCTCGCTGTGAAAAGCCAGTACAAGCTGTGCAACGTCGTGTGCTGCAAGTATCTCACTGGGAGGCCGATGGAGGGGCGCTGGGAGGCCACCGTCCATGCTGAAAGCTGGTCAACTACAGGATGGTCAGGGCTCCACTTCAGGCTGGTTTGGTCCCCACCGTCCCCATGCTCGGCGCAGCTTGCGTGGTCCCCAGCATTCCCATTGCCAGGCGCAAGGATGCCTTCATAGGGTGGGTGGACCCACCCAATGCCAAGATCTTCAGGCTGGAACTCGTCCGAGCTCCCCTCGCTGGCCACCTCGCTTGCCACTCTGTCTCCAGGACGCAGCCAAGGCTCGTCCATCCAGAAGTGAGAGGCAGAGCTGGTCTTGACCGCCTTCTTTGGCTTTGGGTGATCTGGCAATGGCTCTGCAGCGCTGTTGTACAGCTCCCACAGCCACCAGTCCACCGCCATGCTAGCTGCAGTTGCTTGGGTGAACCGGGCTGACAGGCTGCCAGCGCGTCTGTCTGGCTGTCCGTAGATTTGCTTCCAGATCGAAGACTGCGAAGTGCCCAATATGCAAGCGAAATTGGACAGGCACACCTGCTGGCCACACAGTTGCCACTGCCGCTTGCAGCGCGATTCATGGCTCTCAGATTCCTCACTCCCAGCCCTGCCTGCGGGGTCTGGGCCAGCCGCAGCGAAGTAAACTGCTCTAAGCATGTGGGCCCGTTCTGCATCTGACATTTGCCAGAAAGCCCTGCAAACCGCCAAGATGCGGCGCTGACTCAGCCGAGTGTGGCATAGGCGGCGGCATCTGCACTGGGCTTGTGGGTGGCTGAGGACTTCTCTGATGCGATCAGGATTGCAGCCATTGCGTTGATAAGAATTCCCATGCTCAGGACTTGCCCTCTCAGGCCCTGCCTGGGGAGCTCCTGGCTGGCCTGGACACCAGCATGACTCGTCCAGGCTTGCCACCTTGCGCTTCCCTCCTCTCGCTCTGCTGGGCCCCAGCAGAGGCGGAGGATGCTGGGTGAGAGACTGGCCCTGCCAGACAGCCGGCACAAACTCATCATCTTGAGGTCCTGCTAGCGGGCCCTGGTGGGGAAGGAGCACAGCTGGAGGGGCGCCAGCCTCCCAGTGTCGAGGCATGAACTCGTCATCATCCTCCCTGCGGGCCTCCCATGCCTCCGGCTGAAACTCTGCAGCTGCCGCCATCTTTGATGCTCGTGCTCTACCTGCGCTTAGCCGTCATGGCAGGCTGCGGTCATGCAAGCCTCGAGACAGTGCTGATTCACAAGCATGCAGACGACTCCAAGTTTTTCCTACTAAGCTCTGTGCAACGGCTGACTCGCGGGTTCTCTGTACAAAGCTGACTAGAAGCTTCTAGAGGCCCCACAGTCCCCATGAGAGCATAGTCCCCATGAGATCACTGTCCCCATGATCTGAGTGCAGCTTGCCAACAAGACCATCACCAGCTGCCTGGCTGAAATGCATCAGGAGAATTGCCTTCTGCGCCGGAGCTGGAAGAGTTCATCAGGCTCTCCTCTGGCTCGCTGTCTGACACACTGGACTCTGAGTAGCTGGTGTAGCTGTCCTCATCCTCCTCCTGCACCCTGGCCCGGGCTTGAAGCCACGCGCTCACGAGCAGTTCTCCAAGGCGCTTGGGGTAGTGACCGGATTTGCTCAAGCCTGGCGTGCCTGAGACCCCACTGGCACTCTTTTTCATGAGCGGCACATGCTTCTGGCTTGGGCAGTGACAGCGCCTCATGGCCTTCTCGATCCAGGCATCCTTGCCCTGGGGCCCGTGTCCCAAGAACTTGTATGGCTTAAACCAGCGGTGGCCTGCTGGCTCATCAGCATACGCGCAGCGATGGGCAATGCACGCCAGACCGCCCGGCACCACGCGCAGCCATGGCCGCAGGAACCTGAACATGCTGCTTCCCGACGGGTTCTCCAAGGCCACGAACAGACCCCGAGCCGCGGCCACCGCCAGCAAGAAGGCCGCCTCGCACGCCATGTCATTCCCAGCACGAACTGGCCCATATCCCTCATTTCCAGCACAGCGATGCTTCTTGCGCTGGCATCGGGAACTGTTTGGGAAAACAAATGATGAGCAATCAGGCGCCATCACCAGAAGGCCAGCTGGGGGAAGAGCCAGAACACATGCCAGGGCAAGCCCAAACCCGCGACGGGTTCTCATATCGTGGTCGCTGGTCAGCAAGATGTCCATGGCCTGGCCGACCAGGCCTCTCCGCTCTGCAGCAGCTACTACAGAGCCCACCCCGGACCACAGTTCCACCACGTCCGGCAACCTCAGGCAAAAACAACTTAGGGCAGGGATGAGAGTGTTGCATTGTGAATCCCTGACAGCTGAGCGACAAGGTAGGGTCCCTGAAGCATGGGCTCGTCACTGCTTCGAAGAGGGTGATGCCAAATATTGTCAATGTGAACCGGGCGACCCAGGCTGGAAGTCCGGCAGCTGACACAGCCCTAGAATCGGGGCGGTGGAAGGCAGACTCACTCCAAATGCGGGAGCGCGGCATGACTGCTACCCTCCAGTCACACGAAGACCCGTCGGCGCTTTGAGCCGACACGTGTGCAGCTGCATGAGTGTGGCATGCTGCGCTCGCACCAGCTACCCTACTAAAACTTTGCAGGCAAATCTTGCTTTTGACGGCCGTGATGCGCGTGGCGACAGATTGCCTCTCACCCCCTGGGGCCCCAACAGGTGACGCGAAAGCTGACAACAGTGTCTGTTAGTGTCTTAGCGTGTTTGCTGGCTTGCTCCGCTCAGGCTGCTGGTGCACATCTGTACAATTTTCAGGTCCCAACAGTCACCACAGTCCCCAGGGTCCAAAATGGTAAGAGTCAAGGAGTTTGTTCTATGCAGTGAGGACGCACGACTAGTGCAGGAGGAGACGCAGTCTCTGCTATCAGCCTCGCATGCGTCAGAAAACTCTGGCTCAAGTTGCTTTGGGGGCCTTCGCCTTGCGAGCCCGCTTGGGTGTCAGCGCCATCTGCTTGGGAGTGCGCCTGCGGCGCTTCTTGACACGCTTCTCCGGCCCACCGTCGTCCCCCTCACTCTCCGCTCCAGACTCGTCCTCCTTGGCTGGCTTCGCGTTGCGGTTGGGGTTGAGGGCCAGGCAGCACAGCGATCCGGCAAGCAAGGCAACTGGCCGCGCCGCGTGAACTCCTGGGAAGCCCAGTTCGATTGTGTTGTTGTCAGGATTGAAGCTCACACGGGGCACCAACTCCACACGGTCCGCTGCCAGCAGAATTGGCAAGGCTGCGAAGGTGGAAAAATTCTGCACAGTCGGCTTCGGCAGCCTGCCCTTTGGCGGCACAGCTTCGAACGCATTGGAGCCAGCTGGTGTGACCTCATACTGTGTGCTGCCATCTTTCCGACCGATTGTGTGCCCCATGAGCTTTGGATGGACGAAGTTGCGACGTGCCAGTTCCTGGACATACTTCTGCAGTGGCATGCATGTGGTCGGCATGTCAGCCAGCACTGGCGAGGCTTTTCTTGCCGAGTCCTCCGAGAGCACCGTGCTGTCAGGCGTCAGCTTGGCTGAGAAAGCTTGCCCTGCTTCTTGGAGTGCCTGGTCTGCCTTCTCGCGGAAGAGCCACTTCCCCCGCACCGTGAACATGGTAGTGTTCGGGTCAAGCATGAGGTCCTCACTGGCGGTCACGAAGAGGTCGTGGCACGAGTTGGAAATGAGAGTCAGCCTGGCACGGGGGTGTTCGCAGTGTGAAGATGGGGAGTGTGGGGACAGTTGGGACTTCCTTGCTGGCAAGTAGCGTCTTGGTGGCCTTCACCTCGAAAACCTGCCCTGGCATCTCTGCTACAGTCTTCGGCTGCTGCGGCAAGTCCTCCAGCAGCTTGGAGCGGTCCAGGGGTAAGTCAGGCTCAGGCTGATGGTCGCCTTCCTTCTCCTCAGCGAGCGCGTAGGCCGTGCCGGACGGGTTTGCCGCCTGGTTGTGCTGCGACACAAGGCTGTCGATGTCCGCCACCATTGCTGGCATGTCAGCCTTCCACTTGGCAATTTCCTTCTCGAGGATGGGAAGTTCCCACTGCTGCGAGCTCTTGCGAGGAATGCACACATAGATCTTGCGGGGCATTGGCAGCGTGCTATCTGCTGCCGCTGGATTCCCTGAGTCAGCTTCCCCCAAGAGTGCCTGATAGTCCTCAGCTCGCAGGCCTGGCAACTCGTAGTCTTTGTTGATCACCATCCTCCGCAGGTTCGCTGTCATGGCAACGTTCAAATTTTCGATCAACCTCTTGCCAGCCCCAACTTGTAAGAAGTGCTCCCATGCAGTCGCTGTGTAGGCAAGCCGAGGCAGCTCTCTGGGCTTCTCAGCGTTGAGAGCCATGCATGCTCGGCTCAGGCAGTCATCCGCTGGGGTCCAGTCTCGGATGTGTGCCGTCAGCTTGGTGGAGAATCCGCTCAGGCAGGCTCGAAGAAGCTGCGAATTCAGCCCGACACCGCTATGATGCTGCCGGAGATCAGTCACTTCGTTATCCCCGGCGCTGGACATGACGTTGGCTACACTGCTGCAATCGGCGGTCCAGTGCTTGTACTCCGAACGGGGCCTTGGCTGCTGTCGACCCCGATGCAACAAGTTTTTAATAGCTTCTGGGTCAAGTGGATAAAACAATAATTTCCCAAAAAATCAAGCTCTACAGATCCACCCCAAGAAGTATAGCAATCAAGGAGCATGCATTCCACAAACTTCCCGAGGGAGCCTCGCACCCAGATGCTCCTCCGTGTGAAGAGAGACACCGGCTTGCCCTCCGCGTCCCTCTCGTCAGACACGAAAATGGCAAGCGGATGCCAGTACTTGCGCTTAGGGCTCTTGACGCTCTCTGCGTCGTAGTGGATTTGGACAACTTGGACGCGGAAATGGTTGGACCCCTCCTTCAGCTTTTCTAAGACTGAGCTCTGGGCTTCCTCGACTGCCTGCTCCGGGTCCGAGCTCTTGCTGCTCCTGCTGGCGACGTTCGGCAGTTTGCAGATGCCGAGAAAAGTAGCTGGAAAAGTGGCAGCTTCCTTTGCTGCATCTTCCACCATTTCTGGGTAGAGCTGTGTGTGGGTCGGGCCCATGGCGCAGCAGTCGATCACATTCACACGGAGCATGGTGTGGGGGTCAGCTGCAGGAACACCCTCCGGCAGTGGCATCTCGGCAGCTGTGCGGCCAGCAGCTTCCATGAATCTGCGCCAAGAGGGGCGGTGAATCGTGGCCACCTTGGCCTTCTTGAGCTCCACTGTGGCAGCATCCTTCTCCGAGCGGGTCATGGTGCCGGCAGTGTACAACTGCTGGAGGTGAGCCTCCAGCATGTGGCTGAGAGCCTCGTGGGCGGCCTCCTTCGACTCCATGCGCTTCACTGCATTCTGCTCATCGTGGTCCGCAATCTGGCTCACACGCTGGGCAAACTCAGTGCGGGCCCCGTCCAAGCGCACACGGACCAGCTCCAGCCTAAGCTCCAACAAGCTAGGGAACTGAGACAAATAAAACCTTTGTTTTTTGTGGGAGGGGGAATGCAATCTAGCAGCATGGCCTTCTGGCTGTTTCGGCTTGCCTCTGCTTGAGCCTCCTCTGCCTGCAGTGCCTGCTGATCGCCCTCCGACATGCTCAGCGCCTCCCGCAGGAACCTCAGGTGGGTCCTTGGCCTGTATGTTGGGTCCATGGCCTTTGCGGACGCGACCATGCTGTGAATCTTGCCGCGCAAGAATTCTTGCAGCATCTCTTGCTGGCGCTCCTGGCTCATCAGAGCCACCTGGTCAGGATTGCTCTCCAGGAACATGCAAGCTGTCCGGTAGACGACCTCTGGCTCACCATCCCGGAATTTGTGGGCGACCGAGTCCATGGCAGGCCGCTCCGCCTTCTCGTACGCTTCTCGCAGGCGCCAGCTGAACGCCTCAGCCATGCGGTCCAACCACAGCAGGATTCTCTCCTCAGATGGTGCTGTGCGCTCTCTCCACTCCGCTTTCTCTTCAGGGACAGTCGTCTCAAGGAGGAATCGCGCAGGGCCTTTGATATCAAGGTACTCTGTCGGAATCGCGCTGTGCGCGACCTTCTCGTCGCCCCATATGCAATGAAGCTTTCGCCTCACAGGCTCAGTGGTCAAGCACAGGAAGGTGACAGCGTTCCTCTCTACTGATGACAGCTTTCCAGCTTGGGAGCGCCCAGCTGCTGCGTCAATCTTGCCCAGCTCC